GCAACGAAAACAAGTTTGTTCGCCATATATAGAGCTTCTTCGACCAGAAATTTGCAACGTTATAAATGACAAATGCTATATTTATTATTATTTTGTTATAATTTTACTACACTAATAACTCTTGGTATTTTCTGCGAAAAATCGTCCAAGTGGTTTTTTGAACTGGGCGAGTTTTCATTTGGTATGTTTTTTTCGGCTATAAGATATCTACAAATATAGTTTGTATTACTATATTTTATGGGTTCTTATCAACAACATTAATCAATTGTTTGGAAAGCATCTTGGTACCTCTTCTTATTGCTTTTTGGTTATAAAACCCATTGTTTTATTTGTTTTTATTGGTGTACCAGATGTGTTGGTATCAATATGTCAAAGTTGCTCAATATTTCTTTTGACCAAAAAAAAGCGTTTTCAAAAAATTCTTTTTTCAAAGAAAAACGTCGAATTGTAAAAATCGACCAAATAAATTCAACATTTCAAATTTATGAATGATGCCCGATTCTCTGGTATAAAAATACGAATTATGATTTGAAAAATACTTGATTGTCCAACAAATACACGATTCATTTACAGAAATGAAACGTATGAACCCAACAAATACACTTTTTGATTGTAATATCATATTACTATTTTAAATGGATATTTATTTAGGTCGTTGCATTTTTATAATTATTTAGGAAAGATCAACAACGGCGTTTTCGGTGTTATTATACCAATATGCAAAACAATAATAATATTATCCTTTTGTGGAAACATTGTATCGTTTAATGCTAACTTCAAAATGTTGTTTCATTGCTTTGAATGAATATCTTATTCAACAACTTCATAATTTGATATCTCAATTGCCTATGATTTTGAAAAATAATCATTCACAACGTTTTAAATTCTCCGTGTGTTTTTATCAAGCATCTGCCGTTTTAAAATATAAAATACAGTAGAGGTTTATAACATTAAGATTTCTATTGCAACCTCCTTTTTGCCTAGTTGACAGACATCATACTAACGTGTTTTTACGTTTAAAGTTAAAAACGTTTCGTATACGTGGCAAAATTCTCGTTAAGTCCCCAGATAAAATCAACTTATATATATTTTGAAAAAGGTTGTAAAATCAACCAACTAAATAATATTACAAATATTGAAAGTGGTGAACTTCAGTAAAAATAAAATAAAGTAAATGGTAATTATGTGAATAAATTTTGATAAACTTATTAAAGTATTAACAGTTCATTTTTAAAACAATTTTTTTTAAATCATAATATTATCTGATTAAATTATATTATATAAAAATAATCATATTATTTAATACATAATAATTCTTTTTAACACTTTTTTTCTATTAGATTGTAAAGTTTTTATGTATATTCTAAATGTTTATTATAATTTTACTATACTTTATAATAAATAAAAATTATCAAAAAATATATTCCAATTATTATCAATTATTAGTTTATTTAATTAAAATATATTTATTATTTAACTATGAAAAAACAATTAAAAACTTCTGATTAATAATAATGATTTTACATAATACAAACTACAAAATAAAACTATAATTGTAAAGTAAAAAAAGCAATAACAATAGTTTTGTGGTACAGGGGTTAAAGAAAGTATAATATGAAATAGTAAAGTACTAGTATAAGAAAAAGTTTTGAGAACGAACTAACCCTGGCCATTAGTGAGGAGACATGGGAGGAGTCCGAACAAACACCATCAAAAGAGCTGCCAGAAACATGATCGAGAAGTACTACCCGATGTTGACTCTTGACTTCAACACAAACAAGAGAGTTGTCGACGAGTTTGCCGTTATCAGCACCAAGAAGATGAGAAACAAAATTGCCGGGTACATCACCCACTTGATGAAGCGTATTCAAAACGGCCCAGTCAGAGGTATCTCTTTCAAATTGCAAGAAGAAGAAAGAGAAAGAAGAGACAACTTCATCCCAGAAAAGTCTGAAGTCCAAACCGACAACCTCGTCACTGACGCTGTTACCCTTAAGATGTTGGAGGCTATTGGAATGCCAATGAACAAGAAATAAGCTATCCCTTCCGTTTTTTTATTCGATCGATTTGTACTATTAGTTACTGGTTATAATACTATTACTGTCTAGTTTAATGCCGTTATTTGGAATGAACCTTAAAGCCTTACAAGTTGTTTAATAGCTACATTAATACATCAGATCTCAAAGAGAAACGTCCCACACTCTTCATAACTCTTCGATAACACAGAATGCGACTGGAACAAGGAAAGCGCAGAAAACATACAAGCCCCGTCGAAAGAAGGCATCTCGGAGTCATGAGGAATCACTTCCCACTCTTTGTCAGTTGAACACTTACTCACGTAATGTCGCACTTTCTCAAAGAAGCCAGTAAGTTGGGTGGTCCCACCATATAAATGTATTTCGTTACTTTTAAAGTCGTGTAAAATTGAATTGTCGATGGAACGCTCAAGCCATTTGGTTATGGAAGAATCCCCTTCAAATAATACTTCGCCACATAAGACTCTATTTGGGCCAATGGTTAGTATGGTATTGTCCGGGAGAGTGTAATTCTTTGTGTCAAGTACTATACCACGTGCATTTGTATCAATGACCACTTCAAGTAAATACGCCTTTTTGACAACATCTAAGTCAATTAAATCAGTTTTAAATCGTTTGTTAAAATTTGCTGTCACGTCGACACCACCGATATCTAAAAACATTGCTGTGCCTTCAAGTACTTTGCATTGATGATAACAACAGATCTGAGTCACTTCAGCACCACTCTCTATGACACACCCAGACGTTTTGGAAGAGCTAATTAAACACATCAGAGGTCGGTTACACAACACAACCTTCCCAAAGTTAAAGTACTCAAATAAAAGTTGTTCCATGTGAAACGGAAATGACGTTTGTTTGCACATGGAGTGCGTCACTATGATAGATGACCTTTCATTCTTTGTAAATCTGGTCACTTCCTCTATCTTTTCAATGGCTTCTTCAAAAAGGTCTTGAAGTCGTTGCCAGTCGATGACCTTCCCACGTTCAATTGGATTAAATTTGTGTGTGATGACCTTTTCTTGACCAAAGACATTCAACACTTCTATGCCAGAGTAGTGGATGTATATTACTTTTGCTATACCTTCTGTATTTAAACCAAACCTGATTGATTGACTTCCTAAATCAACAACAAGGACTTCTTCCATGTTATGTATTATATGGTCTTCATTTTTCAAAGTTCTTTTGGAAAAGGACTTTTTAATTATTCATTATAGAAAAAGGAACTAAAAACGACAATCTAAAAAGACTTTGAGGTTTTCAATAATTCACTTCATCTGACGGTTCCATCAACTACATCATCAACAGTGACTTTCACACCAGTGCCTTCGACTATTAATGGCGTCACATCTGTAAGCACATTCCCACCTTTTAACGACAATTTCATTTTACCAACAACATCGATGACAATGGGCTTCACTGAAATCGTCACCTTTCCTTCGGAAGGAACTACACGTTTTCCAATTTCAATGTCTTCTGTTGGGTGACAGAACTTAACGGACTTTCCATCCAAAGAAGTTGCAGCAAGAATCATCCCTTCTGAAGCCACTCCTCTCAACTTGGAAGCTTTCAAATTGCACACAAAGACCGCCTTTTTGCCTTGTAATTCTTCTGGTTTATAAAATTCGGCCAATCCAGCAACAATGCTTCTTGGCTTCTCATCACCTACATTCACTTTAAGAGCTAATAAATGCTCTGAATTTGGATGTGGTCCAGCTTCGACTATTTGGCCGACTCTAATATCCAATTGGAAGCCATCTAACACTTCCTTGACATTTGCTTGTTTCTTCTTCTCATTAACAGTTGGTTTTGCCTCCTTTGGTGCTTCTCCTTTGATTCCTCCAAACTGCTCTTTGAATTTGTTGATTTGATCGATTGTGATGGCGTGGAACAAAACACCGATCTCTCCCAACGTGGTGTTTCCCTCCAAAATAAGGCCAAATTTGGCTGGGAAGTCCATCATCGCAACACCAAGTTGCTTTCTAACTTTTTGACCAAACTCGGGGATATATGGGTCGAGTACTAACGAGACGAAGTACAAGATATTCAGTGCAAAATATGTAACATCTGCTGCTCGCTCTTTATCAGTTTTGATGACCGTCCAAGCCGTTGTGTCTTGAAGGTATTTGTTACCGACAGATGAGATCGCCATCGCCAATTTGACGCCTTCCTTCAATTTGACGTTCTCCATTGCTTTAGTGTATTGCTCATAAAGTCCGTTAATCTCTTCAATTGCTTTGTTTTCAACGTCTAACATCTTTATGATCTTTCGTGGGATCTTCCCGTCGAAATTCTTGTTAGAGAATGTCAACGTCCTTTGCGCCAAATTGCCCAAGTTCTTTAATAACTCGTTATTATTCTTTTCCATTAAATCAGTCCACAAAAAGATGGTGTCCGACTGCTCTGGTCTATTCATTAATAAGTAGTATCTCCACACTTCAGCTGGAATGCCAGTCTTCATCGCGTCATCACCAAACACACCCGTCCCATTGGACTTGGAGAATTTACAGTCCTCATAATTGAGGTACTCAGTAGTCGCCAATTTACGGACCATAGTCCATGGCATCCCACTCCCTAATAAAGTACTTGGGAAGATAACAGAGTGGAAGACAATGTTATCCTTTCCTAAGAATTGAGTCAACTCAACATGCTCGTTGTCCATCCACCACTTCTTCCAATCGTCTGTGTAATTGGCGGTGATAGATAAGTACCCAATAGGCGCATCAAACCACACATAAAAGACTTTGTTCTCAAAACCTTCCATAGGTACTTTAGTCCCCCATTTCAAGTCTCGTGTGATACAACGCCCTTTCAAATTGCCGAGCCACGCCTTCGTCGCACATGAACAGTTATTTGGCCACTCGTACTTCTCCATAGTCTCATTCGCCCATGTGTCAAGTTTGTCAGAGATCTTTGGCAAGTCAATGAATAAGTGCTCTGAACTCTTTCGAATGGGGACCGTCTTGCATATCTTGCAGTGTGGGTCGATTAACTCGACTGTATTGATCAATTTCTGACAAGCATCACATTGGTCACCACGAGCACCAACAGAGTGACAGTACGGACATACACCCTCCACAAATCGGTCGGCTAAGAACCTTTCACACTTCTCACAGAAGAATTGCTCGACGGCTTCTTTGTAGATGTAATGGTTGTCGTTCAAGTGATTGAAGATGTCTTGTGTGATTTCAGTCTGTTTCTCTGTGGAGGTCCTCCCAAAGTAATTGAAGGCAATGTCAAACCAGTCGTACACTTCTTTGTGAAGCTTATAGTACTTGTCACAAATCTCTTGTGGAGTGCAATGCTCTTGAATCGCCTTTTGCTCTGTGGTAGTACCATACTCGTCGGTGCCACAAACAAACATGGTGTTGTACCCTTTAAGACGGCAATAACGAGCATAGACATCGGCGGATAAGACACAGCCGATAAGTGTGCCCAAGTGTGGGTAATTGTTGCAATATGGCAAAGCGGAGGTAATAAGAATATTACGCTCACCAACTTTTGGAACAGGAATGGGAAGGGACATCGTCGTTTGATTTGTTTTTGAGGATTTCGATATTATGAATTAGGGTTGGTTCTATTTACTTGATGGTTTAAATTATTTAAATGTGTCTATTATAATATGTGATTTTATTACTATTTTGGCTAATTGGGTGACACGTAAATATCGTGTAACAGGTAATATAGAAATGGCTTGTAGATGTTTTGTAGAAAAAGTTGCAATTAAAATGATTTTTGGGAAGACTGAGTCTTGAAATGTTTTTTTTTGGAGTCTAGTTACACATATACTAGTTATTAATAAATAAAAAACTATTTATTTTTAATTAACTGTATTTTATAATTATACAATTATAAACTATTACCAAATATTAGATTGTTTTTTCTCAAAAAACTCAAACTCATGAATAATATAAGATAATTGCCAAGACGACTCAAAATTGAAAAACTACATCATTAAAAAATTTAACTATAAAAAACTATTATTTTTTTAATTGAATTTTATAATTTTTTTGCTTTTCGAATTGTTAAAAATTTTAAATAAAAAAGTGATTTTTTATAATAATTATCATATAATAAAATTAACTATAAAATGAACGATAATAAAAAGTTGAGTTTTTGATTAAATTGATCCATGTGACTCAAAAAATCATTTTCTTCTTATGTCGATGGAAGAGATGAAATTCCGTTTACAACAACAATACTTCTTAAACCCGAAATCCGGTGATTCTGAACTTGAATTGGCGGCGGTACTAATCCCATGTTTCGAAGAATCTGTTGATTCGACACTATTTCAAGGCCATACTGAGGTTGGTATGAACATTCAACTTGACCAATTGAAAGGGTTGGTACCGGAAGAAGGCTTTGAACAGCTCTTGACGGAGAAGCCTGAAATTGTCATTCCCGCCATCGAGTACTCCATGCACGTCATTGCGCTCAAAAGCTCGCCGAATCCAGAAGACGCGTTGAACTGTCAGTGTATCGCGAGGATTCAATTTACTAAGCCGACGTCGACGATTAAAGAGTTAAAGGCGTCGACCATTGGCAAACTTATATGTATCAAAGGGACTGTCATTCGAGCTTCGTCGATTAAACCGTATTTGGTCTCGATGTCGTTTAAATGTGGGACGTGTAATTATCAGAAGGACGTCCGCTTCAAAGACGGGAAATATAAGTTGCCAAAGAAGTGTGAAATGTGTAATATGACATCGTGGATACCTTTGCGAGAGACCGTCCACATCACGGAGACACAGAAGATAAGAGTTCAGGAAATCGATGAGGGGGAGGGGAGAATACCACGAAGCATCGAATGTGAATTAGTCCACGAATTAGTCAACACCTGTGTTCCAGGAGACACTGTGATAGTCTCTGGTGTACTGAAGCGCAATGAAACACCCCCAACGTTTAGTAAATTTAAGAAGAAAAACGATCAGACAATTTACGAGCCATTCATTGATGCAAATCACTTGGAAAATTGTCGTGCGGAGTCTGGAGAGAGAGACGTGACTGAATTCTCTGCAAAGGACATTGAGTTCATCGAGACGATTAAAGAGAAGAACAATATTCTGAAACTACTTGTGCACTCCCTCTGCCCTCCCATCTTCGGACATTACATCGTGAAGACGGCAATGATTTTGGTGTTATTTGGAGGGACACGAAGCCACGAGACACGAATTCGAGCGGACTCCCATTTACTTGTTGTTGGCGATCCCGGACTTGGGAAGTCGCAAATCTTGCGGGCAGTTGCGAATGTTGTTCCTCGAGGTGTTTACGTCTCCGGATCCTCTGCAACGAAAACTGGATTGACCGTGGCGCTCCATAGAAATCCTGGAACATCGGATTTTACATTAGAGAGTGGTGCGTTGGTTCTTGGAGACCAAGGAGTGTGCTGCATTGACGAGTTTGATAAAATGGAACGAGCAGACCACTCGTCGTTGTTGGAGGCAATGGAACAACAAAGCATTTCAATAGCAAAAGCGGGTATCTGCTGCACTTTACCTGCTCGAACGTCGGTGATTGCGGCGGCAAATCCCGTTGAAGGTCATTTCAATCGGGGGAAGACCGTTGCTGAGAATATTAATATGCCGTCGCCATTACTTTCCCGCTTTGATTTGATATTTGTGTTGGTGGATAACCCGGACTCGGAGAGCGACAGAGCGTTGTCGGAGCATATTATTAACATGCATGCGGACAAGAACAAACGGAAGTACACCAACACGCGAATGTCACAAATCTTATCGAAGAGTCAAACACAAGTGGAGAGTGGAGGGAGACAGTCGTTGAGAGAGTATCTGGCTGACCACGCGAATGAAAGCTCGGACCCATTGCCCCCACGGCTCTTCCGAAAGTACTTGGCATATGCAAAAGCAAATGTCCATCCAATTCTTAATGATGAAGCAAAACTGGAACTCCAGAAATTTTACATTGAGCTCCGACAGAGTTTTAAACAAGACGACGACACGCCAGTAACGACACGACAACTTGAAAGTTTGATTCGGTTGACCGAAGCGCGAGCAAAGGTGGACTGTCGCGAGATGGCGACGAAGGGGGACGCGCTTGACGTGATTGAGATCTTCAAAATAGCGTCGTTGACCGGGATTGGTGGGATCGCGAATACCCCGGTCATTGATTTCAGAGCGATTGGCGGCGTGAGAGGGGGGAAGACCAAAATGTTGAAGAGTCTTGTGATGGTCTTGCAGACGGAAGCGAAGAAGAAGGGTTCGACGATGTTCACCAACAACGATTTGAAGAACATCGCGTCCCAAATGCAAGTTCCTGACATGAATGAATTAGTTGATCGACTCAATCAAGAGGGGTATTTACTAAAGCAGACGGGAGCGTATAAGTTGATCACAGGACTATAAGAGATACGACAATGTGATGTTTCGAGTGTGTTGAATGAAATAAATCAATGGATTACTGGTATTTGATACACTTATAACAATTTTCAAACACAAACACAGCCTGCACTGTTGTCCCCAGACTTGAGAGAAGTCGTTCCAAATCGGGTGTCGGGAATGACTGCGCGTTTTGCAACGATTTCGTCGGTCTCGACGTATATTCGCTCTTGTTCTATTTTACGTTGAAGATTCTGTGTGTGAGTGTGGGTTGCGTCTTAGACAGTGAAACGGAGTTATTGAAGAGACAACACAAACTAAAACAATGAACTTCTCACCATCGGGAAGCTTGCTGTAAACGTCGGGATACATCAAACACTTTGTCGCGAGCTCCCCGTAGTCAATTAATACATTCCACATCTTTTGTTCGATGAATGGCTTCTTTTGAACAGCATACCGGATGAAGGAGTCAAGTCGTGAGTTTTTCATCTCGCTTGGGGTGTACCGCAACCCATAGAACCCCGTTGACACATCGAGGTGACAATATTTCACAAAGGGAGATGCTAAGTAGCTCGTTGTTTCACACAAGACAAAGATTTGAGTGAACTTTGTCTGAAGGGGGTCTAACACGTCTTGTCTGTCGATAACAAGAATATTCGGGTTGGACCCGTTAGACACACCAGCAAAGCAAAACGACGAGAGGAACATTGCGATGTCGACCAATTTAGTTTTCTCGTAGTCGACACTTGAGTATATAATAATTTGCAGACCGGAGAGGAGCGACAACAACACGCTGGGAAACACGTTTTGTAAATCAGTGACGAACTGTGGGAAGCCGTATTTATTGGACTTTTCATTTTGCGATGATGGGAAGACATAAGGCGGGAATGGAGTTGGGAAGTCTTGCTGGTACTCTCGTTGCGAAACTTTGCGTTTCTTCGTGTCACCTTTTTTGCTCTTTTCTGAGTATGGCGACTCCATCGACCAGTTGAAGAGTGAATGACCGCCACACGCAATGATATGTGAAGGGTGTGAGTAATTAGCAAAGTCGTTTTTGGGGGAGTAAATCAAGTGTGTGGTCAGGAGTGGAAACGTGAAGGTGTTGATGATTTGTTTGAAAGTGTATTTTGGATCTCTGGCGGTGTTTATAAGCGTCTCTAAAGGCATCACACTGTCATAGGTCCCGCGAACATCTTTGAGCAAAAGCGCTGTTTTTTGGAAGGCCGAGGCGATTTGCGTCAGTCGTTCGATTAACAATTCTGTTTGTGGTGTTGTGAAGGGGACAGATTGGATGACTGCGACACAACAGGTAGTGACGTACCCTCTCTTGTTGGAAGGGTTAAAACAAGTGAAGTGAATGCTCTGAATGTTATGATGTCATTTGGTCATTATTATATGAAGAAAGACACAACAAACAGCGATGTAATAAATATTGATTGTATGAATGAGAACAGTGACGGGGGAATACTCATAATAATCAGCTACCATTATCATCCGAATTATCTCTTTCTCCATCGTCGGAGTCAGTTGTATGTTAAGGTGTTTATAACTGATGGTTTCACCAGAAACATTATCAAATTCCACCACAAAGAGTCCATTGGAAAAGTCAATAAATCCAACTTCTTCGGTGTCGCCAAATGGCGTTAGGGATAATTGTGGTATTGAGGAGACAACGTCAGATATGTCTTCACTTGCTTCGACTTTTGTCATTTAGTTTTTACAGTTTCTTAGTTTGTGTATAGTATTATCTTGTATAATTATCTTATTATAAATGTACTAATATATTATTTTTCTTATTTTTTCAAAAATCTTTGTCAAAAACTAGTAATTTATTGTTTTTTATTAATTAATTATAATTGTAAAAATGGTGTTTAAAATAGAAAAGAACGTTAAAATTATAGTAGTTTGATATTAATTTATTTGTTAAAAATGGTTGATAAAGTATAAAAATATTAATAATAGAAGAAATGAATTTAAATAGGTTTGTTGTTATTAAGTAATTTTAATTTAGACAAACTTAAGTTTTAATAAAATTGAATAAATGAAGTGATTTGAAACAAGAAGATATTCTTAAGCAATTATTCATATAAGTTTGATGTATGAAATGTTTATGATATGATAACATTATGAATTGATGCTTATTAATAATTAAATCTTATTTACACAATTCATTTGTGTTTTTAAGGAAAGGATAATAAAAAATGTTGGCTGTGCTTGTGATATGTTATAAATTAAATCGGTATTTGATATACACAATTGAGTATTCAATTGAAGACAATTAGAAGAATGAAAATATAGATCAACAGTTTTTAAAACACCAAAGCCAAATAAGTTACTTGAACGATAGTTGTGAAAGTAGACTTGCAAATGAAATTTCGGAAAACAATTAATATAATGGTACATGTAAATATTCATTTGTAAAACAAAGTGTACAAAGCGTACAAAGTACACGATCGAGTCGTACGCAATTAACTTGGCACAAATTGAATTTGTTCATCACTTTGAAAATCCATTTGAATGCCAAGCTTTCTTTTATTCATTTTTTGACAAATTGGCTTGCTTATGAAAATATTGGTCTTATTTTCCATTGACCACGCGCAAATAAAAGAAGCGTTTACTTGTGTTCCCGTTGCTTTTCGAAAGATAAAGAATGAGACCAAAATGGACACAAATCACCAAATACTATTTGGTTTTGATTTATTTGAGTTTGATCGGCATTCATAACTATGTGGTATATTAACGTTAGTTTTACGTATTAAAAACGAAAAAATGGTGGACTGCGTTTTATTTTGCTGAATTTCTTCAAACATAATTTGTTCCCTTCGAAAACAAGAGTGCACGTTAGTTCAATTTGTAATTAAAGAAAAAGTTGTATGGTGATTCATCGCCAAATCTGGATGCAAACTCATCCAAATTTCGGCGATATTAATGTAGCCGTTAATACATTTTTAAACTTTAATGTTGTAAAGAATAAGTTCTTCATTTTTTATTTTGAAAAACGCAAGACCGAAAAGTGTGAAGTGGAACTGCTCAGGAGCATCAACAGAGAGACAATCAAAAAATAAATTGACAAACTTCGTCAAATCCCAAAGAAAGAACATTTTATCTTTCTAATACATTATTAAATACATTTATTTATTTATTTATTATGACATTTATTTTGTTAAGTAATGTGGGACATTTCGAACATATCGCCGTATTATTTTATTTATAAACAGGGTGCTCTTTTCTTTGATTTTATGGGGGTTTTATATAAAAAAATAACTTCTTTTATTCATTTAAAAACACTGTTTTTCAATCGCTCGTTTCATATTACTGTATTATAAATTTACTATAAAATGTCACTCAAAGTAATATTGAATTGTATTCATAAAACATCATCGTTTAGAATGATGCTGTAAATAGAAAAGTATAGCATTTTTATTATATTAGCATATTTCAATGTATCCAGATTTCGGGAAACTGGTGCGATCCATAATTAGTGAACCACCACAAAGATTTCCAAATACCTCTGATAAACTTTTCCAACAGCAACTGTTGCTAATAAAAACATAAAAAAGTTTATATTATTAATAATAAAAAGTGGTGTGGATACAGTTGGAGACATTATAGGTATTATGCCTAAGTGAAGTCTTTTCACACTATTATTCTAAATGTCATTTGCACTGGCATCCCGAATGTTTTAATTGAAAATGTGAAATATTTATTCAATGTGAACTGGAAAAATTGTTTGGCACGTTGAATTCTCAAGTAATTCAGTCGTATAAACAATAGTTCATGTATTATATTTTTCAAATAAGAATGTGTGAATGACAGTATGTAGTTAACTTACCCCGAACAATTAAATAGCTCATTGATTTTCCCTTTCTTTTTTGTTATAAGAAATACCAACCGTGCACGGCAAAAGTCGCTTTTTACTACAAATAGTTGACAATGTTGAAAATCTTCATTTCTGCCGTTTCTATGCTTTTACCACATTTTAAACGAATAATTATATAAAAAAACTTTGAATTTACCAAAAATAAAAACGACTGTCGATTTGAAATGCTGTGAACCTGGCATAGAAAGAGTTTTATTGTCAACTAAAAATAGAATTACTTAAAGAAACCATTCTTCACAAAAAGGACGGAAATACCCTGAAGAAAAAACTTTGCATTTCTATTTTAAATTGTTCGGCTTGTGAAAAAAAAATTAATAAATTGGCACGCCAAAGTTGGTCGTCTTTCTACTACCACGGAATTTTGGAAGATATAAATATGAACATGTTAACAACATATTCCATTGCGCCAGGACTCTTTTTTTAAACATGTGAAACAAAATAACTTTCTTGGAATAGATAGTACAAAATTACTCTTCTTCATTTTTCTATGTATCGTAAAAAGAAAAACAAATCATTCAAAAGCTGACAGAAAAATGACTGAAAAGTCCAATTGCAATGATGGATAATGACAAGCCACATAACAGTTCTGTCATCAAGAAGCAACAAGAAGCGCGCAACTTACAGTCGGACCTTGAGTGTGTACTTCTTGCTCTTCTCTCTTCAAAGTACAAATTCACAATTGCAAAACCACAGAAGAAGGCAGAATACTCGAGACAATTTATTAAAGTGAAAAATATGATTAAATTCGATGACCTGAATTTTACATTCCATGTTCAAAAATTTTTCAAGAAGTGCAGTTTGGAGTCGATTTCACTCTCCCTTAAAAATGGTCTTACTCAAAAAACCGCCAAAAGAAGATCACAAGCGTATAAAAGAAGACTTGCACTTCATTTATTTGAAGACTTGTTACTCGAAGATGGTTTTCTAATAACAACTCACAAAGAAAATCGGGAAGGGATTATAGGCGATGTCACTATATATAAAAACAACCTTCCATCATTCTCTAAAAATGATATCCAAAATATAGGGCCTGTCATATGGGATTTCCTCAATGAACGACTCGGTTCTTCCTTGCAAGTCACTATCGACTTTTCTGAACTCTCCTGTTTCCTCAATACCCAAACCAATCTGTAAATCTTGTGAAGATATTGTGTTATTCGTGTTTTGGGTTTGGATGTAATTTTCCACCACGAAATTTATAAGTAGTGTTCTATTATAAGAGTGTCTAACTATTTTCTATAATGGGATACGTGTTTCCAATATAATTTATTTTATAATTTATTTTATTATTACTTAGTAGTTCTTAATTCAGGAAATCAAGGATTTTTCGTTTTAGATTGAAAACAATGAAGTTTTTTAAATTGACATTTACGATATTTTATAGTAAAACATCGGGATATTGGCATCCAATGATCATAAACTATTTTCATTCGATTGTTTTATAACAACACAATGTTATTCGAATCCCATTATATTTCTAGTAAAAATGTTATTCATTGTTGTACAACAAATTCTATAATTAATTATCGAAAGAACCATAAAGCAACAGTACATTTAGTTATACATTAATAATAAAATAAACTAGACGTAACAAAAGCAGTTACTGAGATAAACACTTGAAAATTGTATGATCTAAGGCTTCCTTAGCAGTGAGTCTTTTTTGGTGATCAAGGACGAGGAGTTTGTCCATCAAGTCGAAAACAGTGTTGTCGACCAAAGCTTCATTAGTATCATTTTTGAAGGTTTCCCACTTGATTCTTTTCTTTCCGAGTAATTGTTCTCTCAGTCTTTTTTCGAGAGTTAAATTATAAGTCTTTTCATATTCAAGGAACTCGTCGGAGCCTAAGACGTCGATAATTTTGACGAGTTGGTCGTTGTTGTTTGCGCCTTTAAATAAGGGGTCTTTCAATAGAAACATTGTCGCTATCATACATCCGACACTCCACATATCTAAGGAGTAGTCGTACTCTTGGAAGTCTACTAAGAGTTCTGGGCCTTTATAAAACCTCGACGCGACACGGACGTTGTATTGTGTCCCCGGCTTATAAAACTCGGCAAGCCCCCAATCGATCAAACGAAGCTTTTTAGTCTTAGGATCGATCATCACGTTGTGCGGCTTAATGTCGCGATGCATGATTCCCATCGAATGAGTGTAGTCGAGTGCCTTTAAGAGCTCGCGGAGGTAATAGCACAGCTCGACGTGTGAAAGTGTCCGATATAACGTTCTGAAGTCGACATTATCGACGTATTCCATTACTAAAGCAGGCGTCCGTGTCGACGGTTCCATGACGACATCATATAATTGAATGATATTCGGCCCATCTCTTAAGTCTTCAAGTATTAAAATCTCACGATTGAACTTCTTCGACTTGACAGGCTTCAAGACTTTAATCGTACATGGGACATTCTGTTCAACTACAACTCCTTCAAAGACATCACTGTATTTCCCTCGACCTAATTTCCGGACTATTTGATACGGATCTTGTACTCCCCACTCTATATGGACATTTTCATAGTCATAGTATGACTCTGGATGGGATGATAAAACATCACAATACACTCGCGACTTACTCGGAGGACGAGAACTCATGGAAATTATTTTTTTGGAGTTTTTCTTTTTTTTTCATCTTTATAACATTTAAAAAAAAGGGTTTTTTGTGTTGAACAAATTTTGGTTATTCAAAATGTTATTGTTAAAGGAAATAACATTTTTAATACCATTGTTTGTTGGTTGTAAAAAAGTAAAAATATATTATTAAGAATGTACTATTCATGTATTATTAATTAATGAAAATATAAATGGAAGACGTCATTACTAAATAATTGTTATACATATATTTTATTATTTTGACTTTTTAATATTTGTTTTAATTAATTATTATATTTAAATAATACTTTTGATACATAAAAATTTTGATTATAATATAATTCAATAAGTATTTTATAATACAATTATTATGTATTAAAAATTATAGTAAGTAATATTATAGTAAAAATAAAAATGGTAGTAGAAGTTTGACTTCTTCGATAACGATGAGTTTTGAAAACCTCAAATACCAACTGATTATTCCTCAAGCTACGAACTACAAAATTTGATAAACCAAAAAAAGCTTAAACGAGATCGATTTTAATATCCTGAAATTGTCCTCAGCAGAAAAGGAAGTTCGTTTGGTGTGGAGGTTGTCACTTTCCGAATAGTAAAAGTGTAGTAAAACGAACGAAGGGAATAGTATCTCAAAAAAAAGAGATTGAAAAAACGAGCGAATAAAAGGAAGGGAGATTTCTAGAAAGATAAAACGAGAAGGGCAGAGAAGAACCCTGGTGATAAGAAGGAACTTGAGAACTCAAAAACGCAAATGGCTGAATCACGCGAGGATTGTGTCTTGCTCTCCAAGTTGGCGGAGCAAAGTGAAAGATATGAGGAGATGGTCCTCTACATGAAGAAGGTCGCTGCATTGAACACTGAGTTGTCAGTAGAAGAGAGAAACCTTCTTTCTGTTGCCTACAAAAACGTTATTGGTTCAAGAAGAGCTTCATGGAGAATCATTAGCTCGATGGAACAAAAGGAACAGACTAAGGGCAACGAGAAGCATGTTGAAATTATTAAGGGCTACAGAGCTAAAATCGAGAAGGAACTCTCGGAGAAGTGCGAGGACGTCTTAGCCGTTATCAGAGACAACTTGTTACCAAACACTACAACCAACGAAGGAAAAGTTTTCTATAAAAAGATGGAAGGCGACTACTATAGATACTACGCCGAATTCACTGTCGACGAGAAACGACAAGAAGTCGCTAATAAGTCACTCGAGGCTTACACTGAAGCGACGAAAATCTCAGACGCAGAACTCCCACCAACTCATCCAATCAGACTGGGCCTTGCTCTCAACTTCTCCGTCTTCTACTATGAAATTATGAACGAGGCTGATAAGGCTTGCCAATTGGCTAAACAAGCTTTCGACGACGCTATGCAAAAGCTCGACGACGTCCCAGAAACTAACTACAAGGACTCCACCCTCATCATGCAATTACTCAGAGACAACTTGACTTTGTGGACCTCCGACGGAGGAGACGCAGATGAGTAAGAAATCTATTTCATTTTTTTCTCTTTTTCTGGTTTTCTATTTTTTTATTAGAGGTTTTCTTGCAGTCGTACTTTTTTGAAGGATTTTTACGGCTGAAAGTGACACTTTTTTGTCTTTTATTATTTGCTTTGTTATTCTGTTTCTTTATAGTATTTTTATTATTCTTATTATTTAATAAGTATTCATATTTCATTCGTATTAATAATAATAAATTTGTTATTTGATATAGTTCCAAAGAAGTTTTTTGCTCTTTAATTTTTTTTTTTGTAAATTGGAAAAAACTTGAAATGAATTATTAGATGGAAAGAAGAATGAATAATACACGCGCATCACCATCAAGACAGTACGGACTGTTTGATCAAAAAAGAGGAGAAAAGAAAAGAGGAGGAAAGGGAAGAGGCGGTTTTTCGAATTCGAGAGGAGAACAGCAGGAAAGAGGACACGAGAAACGTAGAGATCCATTTGAAGATCCACAAAGTGAGAAAGACAGCTTTGGGGAAAGAGAAATAAGAGATGACGGAAAGAGAAGATATGACAGAAATTCAAGAGGAGGAAGACAAAGCACGGAGAGAAGATATAAAACTCAACGAACGACAGAAACAAAGGAAAATAGTGAAGGAAAGTCACAAATTACCGAAAATCTCGAGATTGAGAAAAGTCAGAAAAATGACGAGAAACGTCAAAGAAATGAGAAGAGGAGGAAAGAAGGAAGAGAACAGCGAAAGGCCCGGATGGAAATGCAACGAGAAAATGAGAAGAAAATGGTCGAGGAGATGGCTAAAGAAACTTGGAAGCCAAGAAGAAATGACGTCAACGACGTTATTAAAGAGGTCAAAGACTCCATGACCGACCTAGATAAGAATAAACCAACCGAGGAAATGTGTGGGGCAAACGACTTACTGGAGTACTTGTACTCAAAACAATTTGCGCCATGGGAAGTAGGAAAGGACGGAGTGCCCAACCCTATTTTGATTGTCAAACCCTATAAGAGACGAACAAGCGCAAATGAGGAAAGTCCGTGTGACTTCAGAACAGAGGCGGCACTCTGCGACTCGCTTGCATTTTTGCTGAAAATTATGGACGATCCAAAGTTTGAAAACATCCCACTCGATGACAAATTTATTTATGTGTCGGAGCGGATTAGATCGATTCATACGGATATCATACACGAAGGATATGTCTCAGTACAAATATTTGACATAACAAGAGCCGTCATCAAATTCTGTTTGTTTTTTCTACTTTTGTTACTATTAATTGCACTCTTTTTAGATATGACAAATAGATGCGTTTTACTCATTCATGATCAATTCAGACAATTTCGATTACGCGAAACAACAATTGAAACAATGGATGTTGACTTTACGACAACTTTACAAACACATCAATAGAATCAAAAACGAGGAAGACATTAACTACATATTGGAAGATATTGAAAATGATACTTACGACCAAGTGCTGATCATGAACCAAGTCCAGATACAAGAAATGTTAGATGGACAGAACGAGTTTGATGGTGTATTGTTGATGATAGAGATCAACGAAGCAATCAAGAACTGCGAATACGGAAGGTTGAAAACGCTTTTGAAAGAGATCCCTGTCAGTATCGACACTATCGTTTTTCATGCCGTTTTTAGAATGCGGCTTATCGAGATGAGGCACTTAGTTTTCAAGAAGTGGGTCGGGACAATGCAATTACCCATTCCCGTTTCTTTTGCCAAAGACGCGCTGCTCTACGATACTGAGAAGGAGTGTGTTGACGACTTGGTGTCGTGTGGAATTGATGTAAAAGATGGGACCTTCCTTGCTAAGGATTTCGACCTCCGTGATTGCAAACGTATCCCACGAAACAACTCTGAAATTTTAATTGGCGAACTCGAGGTTTCCAAAGCAGAGGTATGTGGAGACATTCCTTGGTCGGAGTTCTTCTTTGGGTGTGGGGAACAGTCTTCTGAAGTTACTGAATGAAAGACTTTTATCGCTTATATTTTATTTATCCCGTTCATTTATTTCAATGGAAATAAATCAAACAAATCAATAAGAATAACAGAGTAACCAAATGAGTATCAGCACAAAGGTGAGAGCGATGTACATTGGTGAGAACGTCAACCAGACCGGCTTGTCTGCCACTTCCACATTCTTTTTCGGCAAAGTTTTGAGATTGTTCACTGTTAAGATTTCATCTGAAATTAAGTCATCCACCACCGCTGTGACATTCACTTCTCTGCTTCCCATTATTTGAAGTATTTCGATTTTCTCGAAAACAACCGTTTTAAGCGGGCAGTCGGTGATTTTGAGTGTCTTCACGGTGGTCCCATTGATTGTTTCAAGTGTTTTGCAGCACACAAACTCGGCGAGTTCGAGTTGTTTTGCTTCTTTCAGATCGACTCTTTTCAGTGCACTTGCATACCTCACAACAATAATCTTCAATTGATCGCCTGCAATGTATTCTGGGAACCCAAGTGGGTTTTCGACTTCAAGAGAGAGTGTCTGGTCGACTGGGACGAATGCGCCTATAACGATGAGATGTGCCGCTTTGATCCCAAGGGTTTTAATTTTTCCTGTTAATACAACGGCGTTATAGTTCTCGTTCAACGTGACTGTCTTTTCCGAGTCAAAACTTCCTTTCAGTTTCAAGTTGTGTGGGAGATAAAACTTCTGAATCTTCTGCTTGTAAAACTCGTAGACTGAGAGCTGAAGTGAAAGAAACTGATATGAAGCGCCGGAAGGCGTCATTATCGTTTCAGGAAGAATCAAAGAGCGTCGTTGAGGGATCGACTCGTTTGTCTCTGAATTTCTCCCGGCGACTATGACGTTGTCGTGGATCTTGTACTTCTCAACGACTTCCTCGTCGAGACCAAAAACAATCAAAACAACTTGAACTGTCGATGGAATGAATGCTAACAACTTGTCGAAGAGAATGAGTGTCTTTGGGTGCATGGAGAGTATAAGTCGTTGTGGAGGGGTTGTTTTACACATTTTTGCAATAGACATGAAAATGTGAGGAAACCACCCAACGGAGAACATAACTTTCAAAATTTTTGTTTGTGGGAAGACAACAGTGTCGTCATCTGTAAAATAGACGGTGTGCGTCGATTGAACTGGAATTTCAAGGGTTTTGAACTTCTTTGATATGAAGAAATAAGGTGTAGGGTTCTCAACGTAAGAAAGTATGTTTGAAAGACTTGGAACGTCAAGTGCCGTCATCGTGTCTGTGTGAATTATCGAGTTTTGATTATAAATTGGAAAATTTTATGAAAAAGCGAGATTGAGACGAACGGAAAGAATGTTATTTGCTTTTTTTTCATTTTGAGGTAAATGTTGACACAAAAAAGAAATTGAAAAGAGCAGAATAATTTTTTGATTAATTTTTGTAATAAAAATGTTATTTAAAGTGTTATTAAAAACAACATTTTTTGGGTTGTAAATACTTTTTAAAAAGTTTTTTTATTGAAGTGTTTTGTATGTGACTATTAAAAACTCAAAATAAACACAATTTGAACTCTTTATTATCTTAAAGTCTTTGAAAAGCAAATGTTAAGATAATGTTAAACCTCCATTTAAATTACATTTTTGAAATTATTATGTGTTAATAACTTTAATTTTGTTCTAAATGTGTATTATTATAAAAAAGCAAGTTTTTTATGAACAATTGCATATCAATTTCAGAAATTTATTAAAACCAATGAACACCCCAATCCAACAATTAATCTTATTAAGTCGGTCTTTTATTGGCAGTTTCTGGTAAATAATTGAAAATTCCACACAAAGATTTTCAAATGTATTTAACCCAAGAAAAAACAAAACAGATATAGAAATTTTAAATTTAAAGGCAAAATTGTTATGGTTAACCTCATTAAATCCTTGTATTCCAAAACAACGTTTAATTCATTAGACATTTTTCTCTCTGTTTTTTATCCTGTTTTTGTAACATCAAAACAACAACTCAACAATTATTAATACTAAACATTGAATCTTTATTTATTAAAATAAAGTTTGAGTGAAAGATATATATATTTATTATTAAAACTACGACTGATTTTTGTGAAGTTCTTCACCTTATTGTTTTTGATTTTGTATTATTTTGTTGAGAGTTGATAAAAAGCTTCATAAAGTATCAAAATACTTTATACTTTCTTTGTTTAATTGCTTTGGACTCCATGAAACAAAATATAATTGTTAGAGACAAAAAATTATCAACATATCTTTTTCGTGTATTTTTGGGAGTGAACAGTGTATCTATTAAATCTTGTAATTGATTCAAAAAAGTTATTTTGTGTTGTAGTTGGGTAATGAAAAATAATAAAGTTTTTTATTTAAACAATTTACTTACGATTTTTGTGGATTAAAAAGTACCAGAAAATAATATTTTGGTTTTAATGAATCTTTTTCTTGATAGACCAAGAATCAAACTAACAATATTCGGAAAGTACCATTTCTGTGTCAAGTAGGTATTTAAATCATTTTTGAAGATATAAGAAACCTTTTCACCGAATAACAAACTTTTCAAACGGCCAAATACTATAATTAATAATAATTATTAATAATAATTATAATAAATCATAATAAATTATTGGTTTGATTTATTTTTATTAGTGAAAGAGGATTAAAGAATTTGAGAGATAAAATTGTTTTTAAAGTTCAATTACAGCCAATATCTGGGTATGGAGATGGCCCAAAATGATGACAGATAAGATTGTATGGTAAAGTCTATATAAGAATTTATACGAAAATGAAAACCATCCAAAAAGCCCTCAAAATAAATATTTTTTTAGCATTGATCCTCTCAAAAAATACCATTTTTGAGTTGAATTATTAGGCAAATCTGGTTTCAGTTTACACAAATTTTGTAATAAAATGCAATTTCAGAGTTATTAGGGAAGTTGTGTGCTGTTATTTTAAAGATGCCAAAGAAGTTGCCATTTATTCTTAAATGACCAAAAAACTTTTAAAAAATAACAAAAATGAATAAAAGGTTCAAAAATGTCAAAAATAGAGTCAAAAAAATCAGATGAGCTTTATAAAGCAAAATTTTGCTTTTTAAAATGAACGTCAACCTAACAAAACAATGTAGCCAGTGTACTAGCCACAATAATAAATATATTTGATTGGATTTGACTTTTTAATAACGACATATTTAAACCAATTTAACACTATCTATTTCATAAGAATGTCTGTCTTAATGAGCGCTCAAAAAGAATCGAAATCGTATGAAGCTATTCAACAAGGTATTCTAATCTCGTTGTTGGTGGCTAATGGAGTCTCAATTGAACTGAATTGTCCAAGTCGATTTGCATCTAAAACAATGCAACTCTTTGTTATTCGAGATGTGTATATCAATAATATATCTATTGACTTTGGAAGGAGAGTGGAAGAAGAATGCCAAAAACAGTACGAACTGGACTCTCGTGAAATGGGTGTCAAAAGCATTGGAAAATCACAAGACAAACTTGTCAAGAATTTGAAGCGACGAAGAGATCTGAACAAAGCGGCTCTTTCATTTAATAGCATCTTTAATTTAGTACAAAACTATGGATATACCTTCGACTTAAAACAAGTCAAAGGTTCGAAGAAAACACTTCAAATGATTAAAATTAAAAATATCAACTTTAATGGTATGGTGTGGATGAATGAAGACGAAATAATACGTCGAGGTACTTTGGTGAATCAATACATCACTTCTTTGTGCAGAAGAGGAACATCAAGTCTAACATTTGAAGGGTACGACCCCCAGTTGTACCAAATTTTAACATCGCAAGAGAATAAGCAAGACAATTACTCTCAAGAGACTTTAAGCGGATCTGTAATGACACAAGAACGCCCAAAACTCTTTCTCAAACTTGTTTTATAACTACATCATGGTATTTTATTTGTTATCTTCAATCTAATTATAACATTATTAAACAACAATTTTATTACTTATTAATATAACACTAGTATAAACATCGAGATAGAGTATTTTTGCAACAACAAATACAATAACAAAATGGCACTAAAATAGAACGCCTTCAAAATAAGTTAGTGATGCCTTACAATTGTCGACAAAAAAATCTATTGTAAAAGTTACTCAATAGAAAAAAAATAAAAAAAACTACAAATGTTGATAAAATGTCAACGAATTATATCGAGCCGTTGTTTTTCACAAGTGACCCTCCCGACGATGAAATCAAAAAACAAAAGAAAGCTTATAAAGTGTATCCACGTCTACCAGAAATGAACTTAAAAGATTATTGGCTCTCGGACAAAGAGACGTTTCGTACATTCACAGAAAAGTTCCAAGAGTCGTGTAAAAGTTTGAGTGTATTAGCAATGAAATACACTCAAATTGACAGACCAACACTCTTTGACTCCGAGGAATCACACAAAGAGAATATCCAGATGTTCCTCTCTAAGCAATTGAAGGCAATGTGTTTCTTCTTGACGACTGATGGCGACTTGTACGCTACTAACTCCGTCTTGACATCAAGAAAGAATGACTTCATTAATGACGAAACTTTCCGAATATACCAATTCTACACTCAGGGGAAAAAATGCTTCATCTCGTGGAAGCGTAACCCAAACAGTCGTGACCCTAAGAAGTCTATTGAACTCTTCGACATGTGTTGTGTGGGTAATATAGAAATTTTCTGTGTATACTCCGCTTTCACAATTGATAAACATAGTAAAATGGAGTGGTACGAGGAGTTTGGAAACGATTACCTAGTCGAGGAATACTCATCAAATGAGGATTTAAAAGCTACTAAATACCCAAAAAACTCAAAAATCAAGCATTACCTTGTTATAGCTTTCGATCTATAATTGTTTAGTTTATTTTTTATTTACTAATGCTCTGGTTTAATTTTTATAATAATTATTATTGTATATTTATAATATTTAATTACTATTAATAATAGTAGAAATTAATCGAATAAAAAAACCATTAATTAATGTTATTTATTTTATATAATATAACTATTCAATATGTTACAATTTATTCGATAAAAAAATCATTAACAAAAAAATAGGGTTTCCAAAAAAGAGATAAAACACTCACAAAAAAAGGGTTTGACGAAAAAGAGAGAATTTTTGGGAAAATGTCTGAAAAGAGAAAAAATGTTTTATCGAAATATTTTACAATTTTTGATAACGAAAATAAAAACAGTTAATCCGAGTGAATTAAAAAATATAGCACAATAATAATAATAAAGCTAATAATTATAAAATGATCCAATATTAGTTTTTAAAGCGGAAGAATAGGATCCCAACACGATAAGAAAAAGTGAGAAAATGAGTGATATAAAAAGAAGCGGCCACTGTAAAAGCACAAATCGTGTTTTCAACATGGCCGACAAAGAAATTGCAAAAGAAGAAGTGAAAGAGGTGAAAGCCACCGAAAAGAAAGTAGTCGAAGAGGTGAAAAAAGCCAAAAAAGAAAAAATTGAGAAGAAACCACGCAAATCGACGGAGAAGAAGACGAGTAAAGTGGATGAGGAAGGGAAGAAGAACACATTGTCGAAGAAAGCTGGACTTCAATTCCCAGTTGCTAGAATTCATGCGGCATTGAAGAAAGGAAGATATGGAGAACATGTGAATAAGATGGCGTCCGTCTATTTAACCGCTGTCATTGAATACTTAGTCGCCGAAGTTTTGGAACTTGCTGGCGGGCAAGCTAAAGACTTTGGGAAGACTAGAATCACACCAAGACATATCCAATTGGCAGTCAGATCAGATCTCGAGTTGAACGACTTACTCAAGGACGTCACTATCATTAATGGAGGCGTCTTCCCTAACGTCCCTACAGCTGTTAACACTAAGGGAAAGAAGAAACCAGCTCAATCTCAGGTGGTCTAATGTACTCCTTTGTCTTATTCGATTTTTAAGTTCTGTTGCTTTTAAAGATTTGCGTCAAAGTTTTGATGGTTCTGTTTTTAATTCAATTTTCTTTAGTTGTTGACTATAAGTCAACAAGATTGATGTAAAAAATAAACTATAATTATAGTTTATTTGTTATAAAAAATAGTAATTGTCCAAAAATCTTGAGGAGTAGAATTTATGACAAGAGTTGATTTGGATGAATTCAAATCTTAGAGAAAACACCTTTCATTGAGAAGTTTGAGTCATTACCAAAGAAGAGGAGATAAGAACCAAAACTGCCAAGTGTTCGGATAGAATAGTAACAATATAATAAAACTATAATTAAATACTAGTAAGAGTGCCAATTAAATAAGAGTAGAGTGAAGAAGAACCCTGAGGGTTATGAAAAGTAGAAAAGGAAGAAAACATCTCTGAACAAACAGTATGGCCGAGGTTTCTACTACAGTTGTTGCACAACAAGAAGTGAAAACTGAGGTCAAAGAAGTCACACAAAAAGAAGTGCAAGGGGAAGAGAAAAAGGAGGTAAAAGCGACTCTTGAAGGACAAAAAGACTGGAAGGACATGATTGCGAAAACAGTAGTCCCAGTTGTACCAGCTGCAGGAGCTAAAGCCCCCGAAGTTGTTACGGAAACTAAACCGGTTGCACAATCGACGTTTTATAAGGACAAATATAACGAAAGCGATTTTGTCTTGATGTTCATGAACCCAACACAACCATTGGAGAACTGGATGGTAAAGGAATTACTTGAAAACATCGACGTGAAAGCTCGTGGAATTAGACAAGGAAAGACAGGCAAGTGTTATGCCGATTTTGAAGACCAAGAAACTTGGCTGAAGGTCAAGGCGTTGAACGGAGAACAGGTGGGGGAAACCACAATTTTTATCAGTGACGTCCCTCCTAGGACTGACGCCCCAAAGAATGGTACTTACTCCAAAGATAAAAAGACCCAAAAACCATTCAATAAAAAACAAGGAGGATTTGGCCAAAAGCACGACCAACACCCCAAGAAACATGAAAAGACACTCGAAGAGAAAAAGAAGGAAGAAGAAATCAAAAAGAAGAAGGAGGAAGCTAAGAAGAAAGCAGAAGAGAAAAAAGTCGTTTTAAATGAAGAAGAGAAAGACGAAGGGTGGGAAGTCTGTGAGAAAGGTGCCAAACAACAAAAGAAAAAGACAACAAAGAAAACACACATCGACGGCATCGTAAAGTCGAAGAAATTCTTCGACGAGGCTTAATAGTCTTTTGTAATTCTTTTTTAGGTTTATAGTTGTCCAATGCTTTTTTTAATAAACTTTGTCATCAAAACTGGTTGATAATGACGTAGTGACCAATTTCAATGTGAATTAGTCAACACATTTTATATTGTATTTTATATTACCAATCAATTAGTAAATTATAGTAATTGCAATATACTATATATATTATAGTAATATATTATAAAAAATATTTATAGTACTATATAATACTATATAATACTATATAATATTATTAAAACCATTCAAAAAGAAAAAATTAACTTTAAAGGAAACTAATGTAATAAGAAGAAAAAAGTTCTTTAAAAAAAGAAATAGAAACAACTTGAAAAAGAGATGCTTGGTGTAGTCGACGAAAAACGACAAGAACTGGAAGAGGATATCCAATCACTTAAACTTAAAGTTTCGATGTTGGAGGCTGAAAAGTACAAGAAAATGAACACATTGAATAAGAAAGCACTTGAAGGGGATCAACTCACGACAGAAGAGAAGGACATGCTGAAGAAAGAGGTAGATTTAGTAGAAACGCTTCGCAACGAATTACAGAAAGAACCGATTAAAGAGTCGCGCTCAAGAAGACTTGAACAAAAACGAGTTGACAGACACTCTCTCTCATTAACCTTTCGAAGGAAGAAAGGAGTCATTTCATTCACTTCGATGACAACGAAAACTGCTGGGGAGAGTGTTTCAATAGGGGAAGCGAACTCCGGGAAATCGGGTGCGCAAGAGATCAAGGAAATATTGCAGAAAGCAAAGGAAGAGAACCTTTCAAAGGAAGATTTGATTGATAAAGTGTCTGCGTGTATCAATAGGATCTATCAAGAGTTCCGCCCATTCCAATTAACAGCATTAAAAAGTGTCGACGAAGACGTCATTGTGCAACAAAAGTCGAACACGCGGTTTTCTGTCTATAACCAAGTCCTCCCCCACTTCGATGAAGTGACTGTGGACGAAGAAGTCAATCGCCTTGGTGAGAAAATGGTGTTGGGGTATGACGATTTGGTGATGCGAGTGTGTGACTCTGTTGCTGTTGTAGCTTCTGTGTTAGTCGACACCGTCTCTTTTGCGTCGCTCGCTGTCGCGCGCCCTGAAATTGAACAATATATTACACAGTTCCAAACTGCCATTGAAGCGTTGAAAGTGAAGATCATTGGATTGATGACTATAGTTAAAGAGCTTATAGAGACATATGTGAAGTGTTGTGAGTGTGTAGATGACGACTTCAAGAAGTACTTAGAAAATTACAATTTTGGTGTATCTGTGCTCCAAAAGATCGACTTAGAGCCTGTTGTGAACAGTTTCATAGTAGAAGCGGCGAAGGGTGAAGGACAACAACTTCGAGTAGGGTTTATTGAAAAGGACTTCTACGAGAGTGGGGAGAGTCTCTCTTCTGTGGTGTCGCGACTGATTATGGTCATTGGGAATGTGGTGCGCAATCGAATTAGTAAAATGGAGGACGTCACGAAGAAGAAGAAAAAGGATAAAGCGGACGAGGATAACCCTTTTGTATTGCCGAGTAAAGACATTGTGAAGCTGGAGTTCAATGAAGTGACGTCAGTCTGTTATTCGTTTTTAGAATCGCTGAAAGTGTATGTGGGGAAGGTCTACACTGCGCGTGAAGTCAGAAATATCAGTGAGAATTCGACGACGCGATTGAAGGAAGAGCCGTGCGACTTTTGGCAAGAAATCCGGTCGAAAGAAGCGCCGAAGACGAATGGAGACCCGCCCGAGACGAAACTTGCTGCGGGATCATTGAACCGAATTATTGAAACGCTCACATCGCCCCTATTTAATGACACATTATATAGAAGAGCGTTCATGTTTTCATTTCCTGTGTTTACAACAGCGAAGAAGGTGATTGATACCCTCTTTACACGATTTATGGTACCCCTTGGAGATAAACCTTCTGATGAAGAAAAGAAAACTGCGATGGTCATTAAGTCGCGAGTGATTGTTGCGTTGAAGTATTTCTGTGACGATGCGCTTGATGAATGTAATCAATCCCTGCTGGAATATATGAAAGACTTTTTGAACCGCCCGGAACACGGAGAATCGTATCAGAAAAGCTTGAAGAGTTTGACACAAACGATTGACAAACGACTGTATGAAAGAAATCAAATGATATCGAACTACTTCATCCCACCCGTCGACTTGTTCTTTACGCAAGATATGTGCTCCCCGACACTCTTCTTCACACGAATGGACGATTATGAAATAGCAAAACAACTGACGATGGTAGACTCTGCGATTTATAGAGCCGTCCGATCGACTGAATTAATTGGTCTTTCATTTGATAAGATGAAACATAGAGCCCCGAATGTATGTAAAATGTTGTCGCGATTGGACGCGATTTCACACTGGATAGGAACAACAATATTGATGTTCTACGACGTCGATATGCGAGCGAAGATCTTGAACAAGTTTGTGAGTATTGCGGACAAATTGTATCAGTTGCAAAATTTCCAATCACTTGCGGCGTTTTACTTTGGGTTTGAGTACCCGCCGGTCTCGCGACTTGGAGCGACAACAGCACTTCTGACTCCTCAAAGCACGAAAATCATTAAGACGATCTCAGCACTGTTTTGCCCTGATAATCAGAACTATAAGTTATACCGTAATTTATTAATAGAAGCGAAGGGAGCGACGGTCCCATTTGTGGCAGTCATAACGAAGGATTTGACATTCAATTTGGAGGGGAACGAGAAGTTTGTCGACTCGCCACAAGGGAAACTGATCAAGATGGAAGTCCAGGAACGCTCGATGAAGTACATCGACGAGTTCTTGTCATTCCAACAATTCAACTACAACTTCCCAGTCGTTCAACCGATATATAACTACTTGAAGAACGTCATCTGTCAACCGGAGGATCTCCTCTATAAGACATCAGTCACCGTCGAACCAAGAAAGTCGAAGTAAGTCGAATGTTAAGTGCAAATTATTCCAGGAGTTAAATAGTTTGGAGAAAGAAAAGGAAGTTAAACAACCATAATTACGTTGAACTCTGCGCCATCGGTTATTCCTCGAGTAAATAAGGTTTCATTTGCATTGACTTCTTCACCTGAAAAGAGTAATTTAAAGTTGGTTTTGGTACACCCGGGAAAGTAGGAGGCCGTTTTGTCTCTGAGTTGCGCTAATGTCGTTGACTGAGGTAATTCGATGTCATGCTTTTCAGTATTAGTTCGCTTGAGAGTAATTTTGATAGTGCCATTTCCCGTCTCGATGAGACTCTCCTTGTCGAAGGATTTCACAAAAAAGTGGACGGTCTGTATGTGTAAATAGGCGTAATTCTTGAGGACTTGTCTGTCGAACATTTCTATTGTCTTTTCTTTATCCCATAAATATAAAGCTAAATAAGAGTTTTCAGTGAGACGGATAGTAGGGTTCTTGGTTATAATCATCTTCTTTAAATCAGACACTTTTGTCATATCATTCACTTCTAAGAAAAAGACGGGAATCTTGTTTAAAAGATCTTTGACTTTGATGTTAATGATATTGGGAACATCAACAGGTTTGGTGAGGCGAAGAAGTATATTTTTGCGGTCGAATTGCTTCATTAATTCGTTTGGTTGAATGGGATCAAAAGTCTTTTTAGTCGACTCTTTGAAAAGTGTCATATAAAAGATGGGAATGCCAGTCTTGTTATATATCCTTTGTTTGATTTGGTCTTGCTTATCTAAGTTGTTCACGATAATTTGTAATGGGTTACTCTCGATGTACATCCCCTCGAAAACAATTCCAATCCCATTCAGTGGTTTGTTAATTGCTTTAAAGTCCTCAATATTCATTTCGTCGATTTACTTTTTTATAAGTTCCTCTGCTTTATCTGTTCTTTATTAAATGATGTTTCTTTTATTTAAAAAAATAGAGAAATACTATTCTATATAATATATGATAATATATTATATAGAATACTAATATAGATTCATAAAAAAATATGAGTTATTTCATATCAGAAAAAAGATGCTCCATTAATTGTGATATAACATAACACGAAACACTATTCCCAAGACATTGATATTGCCCTTTCTCCGAGACGCCGGCGACGTTTGTTGTAAATGTTTCTGGAAACCCATGAATTCCTTTCTATTAGAATGTAATGGTATGCAATTAAGAAGACAAACTTTTAATTTCAGTTGGGGTGAAGTACCTCAAATGTAGGTTTAATAAGTCTTCTGCCTTCTTCACACTCTCAAAAGTCTTATATTGAGTATTTCAATCCGACGCTATACAACAGAATGAATAGAACAAACGTCGACTTGTGGTGCTAATATCGATCCGGTTCCTTCAACTATTTTCGTGTATGACTTTGTGAAGCAACACGTTCTTTGGCTCTTCACACCAACGATATCTACACATCATTTGTTTGTTGTTTGTACTCACCATATGCACAAGAAACAAACCAAAGAGCATTCCCTTCTTCAACAACAATTCCTTCTTCACTTCAAAGTTAACATCGACGGTGTTCTCAAGAAATGTGCTGACGGACACATTCTCGTACTTCACAAAGGTACATGGCGTCTCAAATTTTGTTTTCCGAGCCATCACATAATATCGAGTCCGACTGTTTGGTATACCAATTTGGTGTGGCGAGATGACGATGTCTTGGATGTGATATTCAAGTTCGTTCAACACACACATGATGTCTTTGAAGACAAGTGACTCTTTAAAGAGTGGGACGTTCTCAATGAAGATGTGTTCCGGCTTGTTCTCCATGTTTTTAAGAACATCTCGATACAAATGTAACACACTCTTTGCACGTGGGTCGTCGATGTCTTTATGTTTCGACATAATCGAATTGTTATATGGTTGGCATGGGGGACTCATGAACCAGACATTCGCTCGTTTCTCTTCAATCCACTCGACACTCACGGTATCCAAGTTCTTCTATTGGTCACTCCTTCATTTCTTCTGTTAATCATACAACAAACCACCACTACCTTTTCCTTGTAGTTTCCTTCATAAATCGTATTCGCTATTTCATCTATTATGTCACCCTCTCACCTTCTTGTATTATAAATTATAATAAATTATTATCAAAAATTCTATTAAACCACAACAAACTGATATCTATTGCACAAAAGGTCGTGTTCGTGTGTACCTTTGACCGCTCCAGAGACGCTCGAAGGCCACCAATTCCACTGAAGAACTCGAGGATCCTTAAATCTGGTTTTGTCTCTGTGCTCATACCGACTCATTATTAAGTTAGTGTGAAATATATAACCATTTTAATAGTAAATGAAACTAAAAATCAAACTATACGAATGGACTTAATAAAAGTGCACGAATTAGTCTTTCTTTGCTTTTGTTGCTTTCTTCGGAGTCAGAAGGCACGTTGGTTTCAGTGGTTTTCGGAGTTCTTCAAGTCTTTTATTCACTTTGCTTCTGAAGAGCCTGTCGCACTTTTTGAGGTTAATCCCCTCCACGACGCATCTTGGAGCTTTCAGTTTCTTGTTCAAGTAGTCGCAAATCTTTCCCGCGCATTTGTCGTGAATAGTGTACGTCTTCTCGATCTTGTTGAGCTTCGTTTGTGGCTTCAAAGAATCGACATAGGCGTTCATCGCATTCACAAAGGTGTTAGTTTCACTGACCTTCTGCTCGTCTTTCATCGCCTCAAATTGAGCTTTGTAGACCTTTTCCTGTGCTTTTTGTTGAGGTGTTTGTGTGAGTTTGACTGTTTTAGCATCTCCTGGGAATTCTGGTAATACTAAAGTCGATTCTATAGCAGTCAAGCGGTGTTGATTCAGTCGATCTTTGAAATTAAGTTGTTTCACTATCCGCTCCAACTTTTTCGTTTCGTTCTTACAACGCTTTTTGTTTTGTTTCATACCACACCCGTCCATACGTGGCGGACACTTAATAGCCTCGCACAGGACCAGAACAATTAAGAATATCATTCCCATTATTTTAATAGTACATTTTCAAGTTTTGATTTTAATTTTTTGAAAGCACTATGAAAAAAATGTACTATAAATTTACTATTTAATGTAGTATAATATCAATCAATTAGAAATGGCAAGACAAGACGGCATGCGCTTCAAATATATCTTCGAGACCGGCTTCCTCAGGCGCAAATCCCACACATACGCCCAACGGTCTAAACAGATCCCTATCAAATAATCACCACTCGAATACAACTTAACACTCCCTTGTGGCCCTCGAAGCGATCCACAGATAAGATTGGTCATAGTATTCACAATATAGATCTTCCCTTCACACGTCGCACAGACGACTAACCCTAAATGTGTGAATGGACAGACAGACCGAATCGGACATGTGTCGATTTTTAAAGTGATTAAAGGGTGTTTGTCTTCGATTTTTGCTCTTCGTTCGACGGGGTTAGAGAGGGTGTTGTTGATTGTAATTTTGAATTTGAACTTTGAAAGGAGCATCTTCTTTCTTTCAATGAACGAATAGCGTTGTAAAAGGCCTTCAGTTGTTCCTAAGAATATCTCTTCGTCGGCAACAGCAGCACAGATGTGGTGGTATTGACACACTGGTGAACTTTTGATTGTACCATCAAAGTTGTACTGACGAATAGGTAAACTGTTGTAACTTCCTGAATAGACACAATCGTACCCAACATCAAAGACACCAATATGAAGCCCTGATACTACTGTTGGGATGACAAAATTCAATGGGCTCTCTTCTGTGGGTAACGCACTTTGCTCTTCGTTCTTCTCTTCATTTTCACTCTCAACGGAATTGTCGCCAGAAACACTAAATGACTTTGAGGTATCGACAGACTTTTCTGAGTTCTCGGAAGATCCTTCTTTTTCCGAGGTCTCGGAGGAGTGCGCACTGTTCTCAGAAGAACTGTTATCATCCATTTCACCAAGATCTTCAATACCACCAATCTCTATACCATCATCTTTATTCTCGTCTTTGTGTTGCTTGGATTTGATATCACCACTTTCTTCCGATTTTTCACTCTGGTCTTCAGAATTTGGATTTAAAAATTGGTCGACATCGACACCATCGAACTCCTTCATATCCTCCGAGTCAAATTGTTGACTTTCTTCGCTGCTTTCGTCTTGTATGAGTGGGACTTCTTCAAGAGGTTGCGTGGGGACACTCATCTTACTTAACTTGCGAATGAAAAGTGCTTTCCCGTTAATTATTTGTGACAAACTCCCATCGCCTTGTAACACTATAACCGCTTTTTGTCCAATTGATGTGTATTTCAATGTGACATTAGGGTTAGTCATCAATGGGTCTTGTTCCGCAGCCAATTTCATTAAAACGATGGGGTGTTTAGACACCAATTCAATCTTTTCAAGAGAATATGGCTGCATTGTAATTTTATAGATTACAGGCGAGTGCGATAATGACATTAAAACAGCTCCATTCGTGTAACGACTCGATGCTGGTACACTTGGGTCAAACACAACAAAAGAAACATGGCTGGGTATTCGTGTGATATCCCCTGTCGTCACTAACACTTTTGGAGGGTCGAGCGATATTAATTTCAATCCACCGTTGGGCAGTCCTACCACTGCGCGCATTGTAGATGTCTGTTTTCTATTTTAGGGTTTTATTGTTCGAAAATAACCCTAATGAGACAAATATCTTAGGCAACGTCAATCATAATGCGAGTGAAAAAGAGGCAATTTTCCCTAAGATTTTAAGATAAAGTTCAGTTGAAAAATTACTTAAACGAAATTCCAGTCCTCGTCGTCGGAATTGTCTTCTATTGCTTTTGCGTTGTTGTTTGAAACGGGTTGGACGTTAACTGGTTTCGCGGCTTTGCCCTTGACTGGTGCCTGCTCCTCTTCTATTTTTTCCTCAATTTTGACGCCCTTGAATTCCTCCTTTGTGTCGTTCTCGACAATTTCCTTTGCATTTGAGATATCTTCCTCAATGCTGTGTTGCTTTCCAATACATGGCCACTCCTTTAGACTCGCCAGTTTTACTTTAATCAACGAAAATGGAATTTCCTTTCTTTCTTTTCCACAGAATTTCTTCAGCTTCTCGCTGATTTCGACCTCCTTTGATATCTTCTCGGCCAACTCTTTAAATCCATACCGTTGAGCGGCGATGTATCCAAGCTTCCCATTCGCTAAGAAACTCTCTTTGACAAGCAACTTTTTATCCCCAACCAAAAGGCCTAATATCACCTTTTGGGAGTGTGTCGCATCCAATGTCTTCAGTCGCTCTGCTGATTGTTGGTTTCCTGTGTATCCACACAAGTATGTGACTCGATTGAAATCGCCAAGTTGAACAAGTGCAAATTCTCCAATCTTCATTTGTCCATTTTCAATCGCCTTTTGCGCGAGTTGTCTCCAGTAATGCGGCAGCCCAAGTTCCTTAGCGGCTTCCAGCGCTGCTCTGAAATTGCCGCATTGCAGTCCTATGTTAAATTTGGCGTGTGTGTCTCGGACAAAGAGAAGTGCCAAGTCGGCGTATTTGTATTTCAACAAGAACGAGATGATGGCGTCGCCAATGAACACCGTTGACTCCAAGTGCTTTTTAATTCTTCCCAAATCGCCATTTAACACGGCAGCTTTGAAATCCACATCAGACAAGTCAATATCAGACACTTTAATTTCACTTTGTCTGTCAATCGACAACACACCAGTCCCATTGTTCATCGATGTCATTAAATACAACACAGAATTGCCAGTGTTTTGTACTATCCCAATCTCACCACTCGGTAATAAATATTTGATGTGCGTGTTCGTGGAGTATAACACTACCCCTCGCGACACCACTATAGCACTCTTCACTTGACTCGTTTCCGTTGTCTTCACACACATCGCATACTTCTTCCCATCATCTTTCATCACTACAATCGACTTCCCTCCATATATTACAACGGCCTCTTTACTACAATACCCTCGTCGTATACCTTCGGCCTCTACTTTAAATAACTCACTTCCAGTCACATCCATCACGCGACACACATTTGGGCTAAAACAGAGAAAAACCCCCTCTTTATTCCCAGCACTAATGTATTTGACACTCTCCCCAACGTCTATCGTCCCTACCTCTTCCCCTTTCATCACATCAATTTTCTTCACAGTCTTCCCATCAAGCGCAAGAAAGTATTTCCCACCAACATAGCACACAGAACTCCCTTTGTTCGTCTTCGTCTGTTTACCACAGAAGATTTGGTAGTTCTCACCATCAGAGACCATCACAAGATCTTTCGCTTGTGGAATGGCTACCATATGTTTTCCATCCTCCACTGTGTATAACATCTTAATTTCTTTACTCTGCACATCATATTTGTTCACAGAATTGCCACATTGGTAATACACATTCTTCCCACTCACAAAGTACATCGGTCGCTCCCCAAAGAGTTTAAACACCTTCAGTCCAACGTCACTTCCTATCGCAAAAAGTTGTTCCAATGGATGTTTCTCAACACACCATATCCGGCCTTCTGTTCTGAAGCTCCTCAACAGTTTCTGGCTCTTGATTTCAAAGACATTGACACACTTGTCTTCACTCACAGAGATCAAATAGTCACCCATCACAGTACAAGCAGTAACGTTGTGTGTATGCCCTCTAAAGACTCCTTCATTCCAACATGACGTGTCGTTATACCTCCACATCTTTATCGTTTTGTCGTCTCCACACGTGAAAATGAGTTGGACAGTCGGGTGGAAGATCGCATAGTTGACGGCAAGCTGCTCGGGTAAGATGTTAAACTTAACGCACCCAGCCAAGTCAATAGCACCGTCTCCTCTCGGTTCATTTTCATACAAATCTTTGATGTCCCACACTCGGACAGTTCCATCGTACGACGACGAAATTACCATTGGGATCTCCGGTTTCGGATGGAAGTGCGCTGAGAGGACAAAATGGTCATGTCCCGTCATGATCGCAATACACTTCAATGACAAGTAATTCCATATTCGGATGGTTCTATCGTCACTACAACTCAAAATCCAAGGCTTCGTTGGGTGGAACTAATCGTCAGAACATCACAGTTTCTAAATTCTATGGTCTCGAGTAATGGTGGTATTTTTACTATAAATTATAATTTATAAATTAATATTATATAGTAAATGGAAATACCTCACCAGAACCTACCATATATCTTATCCCAATGCGTTTGTTTTAAAATCGTTATATTCAAAATGACGAGCAGAATAAACAAACATAAGTTGATCTGACGTAATCGGTATGTCCCTTAAACACACCAACACAAGCATTTTCAGCCTTTGTGTTTCTGTAGTTCCACATTTTGATGAGGCAGTCATCCCCACCTGAAACAACCAAAGGACGGCTTGGGTGGAATGAAAGACCACGAATCGCTCCGGTGTGAGCTGTTGGGTAAGAGTGTAACATAATTTTTGTGCGATAGTCCCAGATTTGAATATCTCCGTTGTGAAGTGAGCACATCAAAAGTGTTGACGTTGGATGGAACACCGCCATCTTCACTCGGTCGCTTTTGTTCTCCAAATTGAACTTCAGCTGAGTTCTCATCATTTTGTACTTTCTCAGTTCTTCTCTCTTTTACTCAGTTCTCCTCTTTTTTTCTGTTTATGTTGTCAATAACATTTTTATTTAACGACTGATTTTTTTTTATTTTTATTTCCATTTTTTTTATTTTCCTTTTAAACTAGTTTTTAATAATTTTGTTGTTATTATAATTTACTTTTAACTTTTTATATGGTTAACTCGTTATATATATTAAACTCATTAATTATTAGGTGATATTCAACTCAATTATTATAGTTTTTTTTAATATAATTATAGTATACAGATGGTTCAAAGTAAATGAAGAACATTACAACACACATTCACTTTGCCTCTTCTTGCCCACCCTTTTCTGGACGTGCTTGGTGCTTTTCATTGTCCAAAACATAGACAAGGGTTGTGTAGTTCAGAAGAAGGTAATTGAATATTTTCATCATCCCGCCAAGTGCCCTATTCCACTCGTCCACTTTGAGTGGATCAAACACCAGTGAGTAGCTCTTCTTCATGTTACTATCATAAATACACATTGTGGTTACTTTGACTCTATTTGTTATCAAATTCTATTTATAAAAACTATACTTGTTATACTATAAAACTATTATGATATAGTAACTAGACTCGACATGAAAAGGATGTTTAGAAGCAAACGAGTAATGATACTTCTCCTTCAATTTTGGCCATACAGTTGCACACTTCTCAAAGATGTCTCCAAAGTATATTACCAAGTACTTAAACCCCTCTTTAAATGACACATCGACTTCATGGTAAAACGATTGTACTGCTAAATACAAATTATACACCGTCTTCTTCTCCCCCTTTCGCACTGATATTTGTGACCGATCATCAAAGGGTATCGGCACAATACTATTCTCACTCAGCACTTTCTTCCCAAGTAAGTATATCCCCATCACAAATTTGCCAAGAGCCATGTTAAATTCATCAACACACTCAACAGAATACCTTAACTTGAAGCCACCAATCGAAACAAGTCCGTCGTCAAAACACTCGATCCCAAATAAATTACCTAACACACACAATTCCTCACTCCTTTTGACTTCTTCTTTTAAACACAAAACACTCCGCTGTAACTCGATGTTCTCGACTAATGAATTCTCCACTTTGTGAAATATGTCGTTGTAAAATATCCAGAACTTCCTCTCTAAATTGTCGACACAACTCTCGTCAAATCGCGCTATCTCATCTTGAAGGTCTTTCATCTGCTCAAACGACTTCTCTTTCAAATCTCTGAGCTTCTGGACGTTCTCGTCGTTTAACTTCGTGCACTCATATCCTTTAATAATGACGTCCATATCTTTGATGTCGTCTTGAACATCATCCAATTCCTCTTTCAGTTCAATCCATTTCTGTTGATGATACTTTTCCAAATCCATGAACTCGTCCATTCTTTGCAACACAAGTTGGAGACATTCCTCACATAGAAATGAAGTCGACTTAAATCCCGACTCTCCAACTAACGAACAATTCGCATCTCGATCATCACCTGTTAGTGTTTGATTCGTTGTTTTTGATAATTCAATATGTGAGTACAACATTTGTTTACACCCTTGACATATCAACAAAGCCGCATGTTGCATCTGTTCTTCTTTGTAACTTTTTCAAGTTCTTCAACTTATCTCCTTTCTTTAGTTTGAGCTCGTTAATTAAAATACTATATAATACTATATAATACTATATAATAAAAAAGTATTGTATAATAAAAATATGATTAACAAATAGAAAGTGTCTAATGAATCAATTCATTGCTACCTCCTCTAACCTCGAGTAGTTGTTTCCTGTTTCCAATGCCACATTTTTGTTCTTTCTTAACCAGCATATTGTGACCCCAATGATTACAATAATGACTACTATAACCAATACAACAGTTATCACAGAAATGATAACGACATTCCAATCAAACTTCTTGACGTTCTCAGAACCCTCACTCGAACTATTTGACTCACTTGAAGTCGTTGAATGACCCGATTCGTCAGATTTAGACTCAGTCGAAGTGTTTGATGAGGCACTTGATGTTTCGTGTGAACTACTTGAACTTTGCGATGGTTGTGATGAAGAGTGTGACTCCGCTTGACAGACATCCCTCACACACTTTTGATTGAAAAAGTCGAAGTAGTAGTTCTCATCACAGTATGTGGGAACACACACTTCACTCCATCTCCCATCGTCACCACACACATACCCACCATGAGCGTGCTCAACAGTCATTTTACTGTCACACAATTCACTTCGTAAAACCAACTTTTTGTTATCTTTGTTGCATTGTGTTCTATACTTCTCTGCTACACTTTTAATTGTTCGTGCAAATTCGTTGACTCGCGTCACGCCATAACTCCCCAAGAAAATTTGTTCGTCGACAACGTCAATCAAATACTCTCGCGGGACTTCTTCGCTGTAGTTATAGTTGTACTTGTACGTCTCTACAAATCCAAATTGCATCGAAATGCCCATCTCTGTCATTTTGTCTTTCTCCGCTTTAGGCAGCACTTCGTCAAATGTGGCAATTGCTGTTGGTGACTGTCCGACATCGTGGTCAATTAATTTCCCTTCAGGGTCTCCAAAGTACCCAACTACAATAGCGCCGCCTTTCTCTTGTAGTCCTTTAGTCAACAATGAACACGCAGAATAACAGAAAGCGTCGGACATTAACACAATTTCAGTCGGCTTTCTTGGATTCTTCGTCAGTAATTTGTCCAGTGTTGATGTTTTTATAATTTCCGTTTTGGATCTCATATGCTTGACATCACCATAATTAACAGTGACGGGTTCTGTATAAAATGACCCAATTGTGCTACTGTTATAACAATTCTTGCACGTTTCAGTGTCTACAAATAAGTCATTGAACCCATTTTGAAACGCTAGTACTGTGTTGTCACTTAATCTCACACTTCCATAGTTGTTCACATCGACATCATTGCTCAACGCCTTCTCTATGATACTTTCAAGGTCAAGATACCCCCCACCATTAAGCGGAAGAATGACTCCAATAGTTCCATTGTTTTCATCAAACTTTTCAAAGCAGCTTTTAATAGCAGAGATATAGTATCGTATTTCAGCTACTTCATCTGTTGAGAAACTCGATATCTTGAGTACATTCACTTTCTCGTTGTCGATGTCTAATATCTGACAATTGATAGACTCGGATACAGTTTCTTTGACACTTCTTTTCTTCCTCACTTCTGAAGACTCAAACAAATCCTTTGCGGTGATTATCTTCGCTCCAGCAGTTCTCCTCTTTTTATCGATAAATTCCTTCATTTGTGCAATCTGCAATTGTTTTGATGTTTTCTTGTTGTTATCAGTTGCCCTAATACTTCCGCCTAAATTCATCATTTGGTAGTTCACCGATATATTAACTCCGTTTTTGTATTTAACAGTGATGGGCGTTTCTAAGTACTCTTTAGTCAGTGGAGCATAACTCATCATAAACATCCCAAACATTTCCTTTGCATATGTGAATTTCGCGTGTTCATTTTTCATCCCAGCAAACATTTCTGCGAATGTTCTGATGTACTGGAAAGGAGTTTGACCATCGATTTCTTCAACCTCGACTTTCTCGTTCTCGACGACTTCTGGAGGCATGGTCAAGTCAAACGCGGTGATGATGTTGAGTGCTGGCAAGTAGACTTTTTTGTCTGTTTCGATAGTCATCGTGAAAGGAAGAACAGCCGCGAAGTCTTCGATGAAGTAGTTATGTTGTGTGTTACTTTTTAGAGAGATACTGATATGTAAGTCGTGTAAATCGAAAATAAGTCTTTGGAATTTGTAGAAGTACTCCACAAAGTTTTGTTTTCCAGTCTTTATTTCGTTGAGTCTCTCGTCGATGTTGACTTTGTGAAAGAAGTTTGAATCGAAGTCGGGTTGTGGTGGGTTTTGAGTAATATCTTTATACACGTAAGCGTCCAATGCGTGAGTAATAGCGTTTTTAAGACTAACAGAGTCTTCTTCTGTAATAGTAATGGAATCAAAACACTCGAAAGCTTGATCTATAGTGCAGTTCACTGGAGTTTCACATGGTGAACTAATCGCAACGAAGAGAAGAAGAAAGAGGACAATCATGAATTTTTTAGATTGTTGGATTACTTTTTTTTAAGGAAAAGTGTAACTGGAATGAGTTTTCTATAAGAAATACAATATTTATAGAGTTAAAAATGGTTGATTTCTCATTATTGTTCTTAAACATTAAAAATAAATTTAACGAGTCATTTTTATATCGTGTGTCATATATAAACGAGTTTATTTTGTATACTAAAGAAGAATTTATTAGAAGAACCAAAAAAAGTTTTTTAATAAATTGATGGTTTTTTATTATTAAATTAATTAAATACAAATGAAAAAATAACGTTAATTATTCACTTTTAACACAAAATTGAAGTAAAGTTAATTAGTTTGTCTTTTTAAAAAAGTTTAACTTTATATTAGATTTTGTGTTCAGAGGTTAATTTTTTTAAAATTTTTAAAACAGAAGTTAGTTCTAATTTAAATATCTTATTTCAATTTATTTCTATTAATTTATAACCAATATAAAACATAATAAAAAACTTGACAAATTGTTAGTTTTTACATAAAAATTAATTTGTTTGAAATTTAAAAAAACATATAATTTATTATATTATTTAATATATATTTAATATATTATTATACAAAATATATGTATTAAAAATTAGTAATTTTTAATTGTTAAATTAGTAATTTTGTTAATAATAAATTGTTCACTTTTGTTAATAAATAAATAAAAAAAAATTAAAATTAATAATAAATAAAGTGTTTGAGAAATAATTATATTTTTTTTTCAATTTTTAATTTTTTTTGTTTGTTGTAAAACGTTGTCCTTTTTATCAATTTATACACAAATAATTGTTTAAAACCCTGGGAATTAGGTTAAAATTGAAAAATTGGGAAATATTTGGGAAAAAAACTAAAACGACGATTATTTTATATTTCGAACATGATCCCGATATTTTCCAATTTTCATTGACCAAAAAGTTTAGGACAACGTTTTCTGACTAAAGTCTGTCTAAAAACGTTGTCCGCTTGTAAAACGTTGTCCATTTGACAAAATTTTACACAAAAATATGTTGAAAAATTTAGGAATTAGGTAAAAACGATCAAATCCCGGTAAAAATTATGAAACGATGTTTTGGGATTTTTTCGAATTGTTTCCCGAAATATTCCAGTTTTGATTGTCCAAAAATGCCTGGACAAAGTTGGAGAGCGGACAACGTTTTCACGCTGACTATAACTCTAATATGATTATTTATAACAATATTATAATAAATAACAAAACAGTTAAATGATTGTCATTTATAAATAGTTTGACTCGAAAAATATTCGAATTTTTATTTTGAGAACGGAAATATGAATAAACTCTATTTTTTGTTTGAATTTTATTAATATTTAATAGAACAATTTGTTAAATTTTATTAAATACTATCATTTTGAAAAAATTAGTTTTTTATATAAAAATAATTGATAAAAACTACCATTATGTTTTTATTTTTATTAAAAAAAACTTTTCAAAATGTCAAAACTACAAAAAATTGTCCAAAAACGGATTAAGAAAAACACGATTATAATAATCATTTTTAGACAACTTTTAAGCTATACTTTAATCGTATATTTCTACAATATTATAAATTTGTTAAGTTGTGTTTGAAATTCAAAACTTTTTAATTGTTATGCAAGTTATAATGAATGACATTTTATTGAAATTTGCCAATTATTTGATTTAAAATGAGCATTTATTTGATAATAATAACTATTTCATTTAGTTTGTTATTCCAATATTGTTTTGTCAAATCAAAAATAAACAAAGTTATTTAGTTTAAAATAGTTCAATATACTCCCAATAAATACTCTTCAATTCACATAAAATAACAATAATAAATCCCCCCAAAAACGAATAACTTTTTTATCAGTTTCTATTAACAAATAATACCCCCAAATAACACAATAAATAAAAGCATTAATATAGAAAATTTTAATATATTTATTTTAATAATAATACGAATTGACCAAACTGTGATTTTTGCTTTTTTGAAATTTCCAAACTAACAATCTAGAACCCTAACCAAAAAGTGTATTTTGCCCTATTACTAACCGTTTTTTATCCTATACTATTAAAAATTACAATTAAATTATCAAAAAACTAAATTTTCATTACAAATGAAAACAATTTTTGAAATTATTTTTTTTTACCAAAAAGAAGATTATAAATAATAACACCAATTGACTCAACAAGTATACTGATATTTACCTCAAAAATCGGGTGTTAACTGGAACTGTAAAACTATGAAATAAAAACTACTTTTTCAAATAACAAATAATTCACAATGAGTTCGAGCAAAATCGGGTTTTAAGTAGTATTTCAATCATCTAAAAAAAACGAGTAATTTTTTTTCAATTTTATATAATTATGTCCAATTTCATCAATTTTCATTTTACAAATTTGATTTTTGATAAAAGAATCAAATTTATAACTTACCCTCCATTTTCATTTTACATGCTTAATCATTACACCGAAAGAAATAAGTATCACTTAGCCAATAAAATCCTTCGAGGACAATGTATGACCGTGTCGGGCGTAGAACGCATCCGCAATCGACTCTCTTTAGAATGTGACCAACTCGCAACACAAATCGACACCCCATTAACGCCAGAAATGCGGTGGGAAAAGATACAGAACGAACTTAACGTCAAAGAGTTCCAAATAGAATCATATGTAAGGAGTAATTTAGACAATACAGAAGTCAGATCAGTGTGTGTACTTCCAACATGCTACCCCCTCATCAGAGGTGTATTACAAAATATTGACCGAGTCAACGGCTTCTTCCCTAACTTTGTCGAAACGGAAATGCGTGACGACTTCTTCCAAAACAATATTATAGTGCTTCGGAACACACAGAACTACTCGAGAGTCACACACACGTACTATTATAAAGACATAACACAGGACGAATGCATTAGGGTTTTCTCCAATTTCCAACAAAACGGATTTGATCATTACATCTTCCACGCAAAGAAAGACGGGAAGAGTTGTGTGTTCACAATGGAAGTCAAAGCACCGATTAACTCAACACAAGTGACTTCAGTTATTCATTTGTTCAACGTCGAAAGGTGTTTCATAGGAAACATGTACGACCACATCAATGGCGACCAAGAGTTTTCCGACTTGATGTTAATGGAGAGGCAAATGAATAAGTTGATATACAACAATGAATTCTTCCCAGTGGTTATTCATCGCAATTCAAAATTCAATGTCTTTGCAAACCACGACTTCTCTGAAATAGTGATTAAGGGCGAAAGCAGATTCAGACAGAAACAACAGACTTACGTGGAAAACTTATTGCGAATGGCAGAACACGACATTCTGTTCGCAACAACACAGCAAATCAAGAAGGGAAGGATTCTCACTTACTACCACAAACAATCAAACTTCTTGAACGGCACAGTACTCACGACGGATCTGTGTGTTGGGATGAAACAAATAGAGGGGTGCGTCTTCATCGGATCGCAAAGTGTGAGTCCGAAGATATCAGGGTGCACTTGTAAGCATCCCCAAAGTGACAATTTCAGTGTAGTGTTGTCGTGTGAACGCGTCGAATTTTTTAGGGACCACGCAGTCACGTCTTTTTATCATCATTTTTTCACGCCATTTTTGTCGGCTGTCAATCGGGAGACGAAAAGAAACTATTTGTCTCATATCACCATCTTAATGTTATCGTCTCGAATTTGTTTAGAAAATTGTATTAATTTTGACTATCTGCTCAACTTTTCAGACGCATTTTTAGCTGCCAAAATGATGTTAGTTATAGTGTGCTCGATTAAGAAGAAAGTGATGGAAAAGAGAATTGAAGAACGAAAGCCACAGAGATATCTCTTTGAAAGTGAAACACCTCTGACTTGCCATATACTGAAACTCAACCAAAAAACACTGATTACTATTTTGGGGTTTCTTCCACTCGAAGATCTTTTTAAAGTGTCTTTAGTCTGTAAAAAGTTTGTTACTTTTTTGTCACATATTTTGGAACTCTATTGGTATCTGTAAATTCTGTTATATTCAAAGAACTTACACGATAGATTGCACGAAGTTTTGGTATTCAACGTTGATATATGGAAGAACTTCTACACGATATATTATGACCCCAGTACACTCCACAGCAATAAAGTGTTTCCCAAGGTGACTGATTATCGTCAAGAGACCATCAAATGCTACAACTTGGCGTACCGGTGGAAAAGCCGCATACCTTTAAAACGTGAGACATACACTTCTTTTTATGCTCCAATCAATTTCATTTACATCAAAACAGACGCTTACTGTGTTATTGGGAGTGAGCTCGGGTATTTCTCTCGTCTTGGGTTTGAGCCCAAGTTGAGGAAGTTACGGGAAGGTCTTACACTGAAACCGATTGCTGGGGTGTATTGCGAGAAGAACGCGAGCAGTTATCTTAGTGTTTACTTTAAAAATGGCGAGATAAGGAAGTACAGTGAGAGTAAAGTCCTTTTCAAGAAATACATTGGGAGACCATTCCAGAAAGTGTACTTTTGGGACGATAATGGATGCGTTTCCGGTGTCGACGAGACGTCTGTGTGTTGTTACGATTATGTCAAAGACTCTGTTATTGTGGAGTATGTCCCCCACACAGTAGAAGTGACGGAGATCAAGAAGATGAATGAAAATATAATTGTGACATCCTCTGATGATGGGACGATATGTGGGTTTGACTTACGGAGTAAGGAGATAGCATTCCGAACAGACTCACATCTAAGTGCAGTGACTACATTTGATTCTTTTGATAATTACATAGTCTCTGGAACAGCGAATGGAGAGATTAGAATGTGGGATTTGAGAGCAAATGTCTTTTGTTATGACAGACAGGTCCACAACGGACGAATTAATATGTTGGAGTGTTTCAACAGAAAGATAGTGTCTGGGGGACAAGACAGACAAGTTGTGTTGTCGGGCTTTGAACGTGGGTGGATCGGGAATATCAACACTATATATACACACCACTCTGCTGTTATGGCAGTAGCATTTAATGATCGGTTCCTCCTCACGGGGTCACAAGAAGGATGTTTGATCTTGTCAAAGTATTGTTAATTGTATTGTAGTTGTATTGTTTCAGTTCTATTCAATAAGTCAAAATCTCTTTTAATAAAACAATAGATACATTTATTATTCAAAAATAGAAAAGAAGAGACCACTTTTGGGCACAACATTTTGATGGTGTTTATGTAGATTTATTTACTTCTGAAAGTATTTAATACTCAAGAATTGGTGCTAATAAATGGTCTTCATTCTTTCTTTTTACTGACATTAGGGGTAAAACACCCAAATGTTCACCGGTATTATTCTTCTTTTTTTAATTGCCAGCATAATCAGCAGAATTTGACCGTTTCCTGTTCTTATTGAATATAAAAGACAATAATTGAGCTTACAATCGGGTCGATTTTTCACTATTTAAAGTGTTTGATAATTAGTTATGTGTTGTAAATATGACAAAAAAAAAAAGATGTTGCGTGACTATTGAAATTAATATGTCCGACACAAGAAATCCCGAAATCGCCCATATTTTATTGATAAAATTATTTCGTTTTTAAGCTCTTGGCAAATAATGGTTATGATTCACCAATACATCTATCTTTGTTTATTTTCTTCAAAAGTCTTAAATCACCGTCTCCAAAATTAAACTTCCGTTTTGTTCTTCTTTATTATTTTGTATTAAATATATAGTACAATTAACTAAATATTTGTGTTAAACGATAGTTAATTTGTATTGGTATTCTTATTGTTTTGGATATCCGTAAGGCTCCCGGGTGTTTACGCATTTTTGTGGAGGAGTTCCACAGTTTATTTACATAGAGGCCAAAATTCCAAAAACAAAACGATTACCCCGAGATAAAGGAGTAGGTTGGAGTCACTAAAAAAGAACCGATTCAAAGATTTGTGGTCTATGAAACCCCCTTTTCTTCGGGAATATGCGACACTTAAAACTCTTTTTTTTCCTTGACAAAACCATCGAATAAATGTCAATGCACTCGAATCGCAATTCAAGCCAAATGCTCTCCCTCACACATCGTAGAGTCGTTTCTGTCTCCGAACCTAAGATCGCTCCACGATTCGTCGCCCCAACACTGTTGGACCTTTCTAAAAGTGAATCGGCTACCTCCCCTCACAACCGTCAAAACTTGATCCGCGTCAAGGACGTGACTAACCGCGCGAGGTTAAAACGAAGAGCCTCACATGACTATAACTGTAATGATGGTCAACTTCCCCAAGAGTTTTTAGAAAGTAATTCACCCGCGACAGGAACAACGCCGTTAATCCTAATCAATCGAAGAAAAAGTATCGGCGCATTCGAAGTGGAAGACAGCAACAGTCTCGACAACTCCGACTCACCTCGTCAAGTCAAAGAGAAGTCCTGCACTCCCAAGATGACGGAGATGTTCAATTGTGAAATCGATAGTCAGTGGTCCTTCCCACTTTCTGGTCTTTCCAAAAACCGTTTTGATGATGAAGTCTCTAAAATTACGAACACAAAAGTCTCAACATCAAAAGTATGTGAAGGTGACATTTCGAGTAAATTGCAAGTCAGAGTCCCTTATATTCAGTTTGTCAAAAACACGTCAGGCGTTGTTATAATGATTGAGGATGAAAGGGGTCTTGTCTATGGATTTTACTGTTACCAAAAGCTCAGTCCTTCCCAAGACCTTCGAACATCTGAAAAGTTTTGGAAGACGTGGAATTGGACGCCCTGTGAGGAGGTCATTTTCTTCTACTTTTCAAGAGACTCCAAAAACATACAGTTTGTCGCGTCAAGGGAAAACGTGAGGATCTCTGTGTGCATCTACACCAATTATGCTGCCTTTTGTGCCATTGGGATCCCTGTACACCACGTTGCATTCACAAATACTGGGGTGTGGGGCGATGCAACACTTTCCGAACTCTTTAAAGTGTGCAATGCAAACGTACCTTCTTTTGGTCACACCAAGCACGTCATCTTCGCCAAATTGTAAATTTGTTGTTTATTGCTTGGTTTACTATTGAATAACAACGTTTCACATGTCTCTATTATGATACAAATAATTTGTTAAACAGTCAATTCACTATAAAAATACTTATTGTAAAAAATTAGAGTCAGACTGTTTAATTGGAGTCTACAGTCCTCATTTTGAAGAATGCTAGTAATTCTCCATTGATCCCATTCTGGTTGGTTATAGTCTTCACTACTCCATTTCTCTCTTTGATGTACTTCTCTATTTGTGTCACGTGTTCCTTCACCCCACTCTTTGCAAAGACTTCAAGTTGTTTGAGTTGCTCCTTTGTGTGAGTAAGAAATTGAATACCATTTCAATGAAGTTATAAACAAACGATATGCTCACTCTTCAAGACATTTGCTTCTTGGTATTTTGTTATCACTAAAACCAACTCGTCGATATTCTCTTTGTACGCCTCAACTGATTTCGAAAGATTCATGACACGACTGTAAAAGTCGAATCGTGGTATTTTTTCGCTGTTGTATCAATATTGATTGTCTATCTCTCAACAAATAAGTAACAAACTGGACTATCCTTTTCATCTCTCGAAAAGTAGCTTCTGAAATGTCAACTCCTATTTTCGTCAAATACCCAAACGCCTTCTCTCGTTCACTCACTTCTCTCATCTCTTCAAGTTGTCTGTCCTTCTTCACTAAGTTGATTTTATCCATTTTATTCTCCATAACAACTCCTCCAATTTTCTTCTTCTTAACATACTCATTGAAACACTCTTTTGTTTTGAGTCTAAAGTATCTCTTATAAGCAGACGAGTTCTGGTAATTCCCCGACTTAAACATTTTCCAGGTGCAGCTCTTGGAAACATCCTCTTTGCTTTGTTTCCATGTCTCAAACTTTTTCAACGTGTTCTGTCGCTTCTTCTCCTCTTTTTCTTCAAAGAACTTGATGAACTCCGTGTCTTTCAAAACTTCATTATAGCACTCAACGTCCCAGTCATCAACACTGTCACCCAATTGATAGTAATATTCAAGGTACTTTGTATATTCAACATACTCCTCTTCTTCATTTTGAACGTTTTGGTGTGGCCACAACCAAGCGAGCCATGAATTATTTGTTTGTCTTGGGGAAGGGGGTGACTTTGAGAAGATGACTTGTGGCGTTGGGGTGTAGACATTCAACTTTGGTACATCAACACTTCCGACTTCGTCATTTGAGGATGTGTAGTTTGTCACGAATAGAAGTTCTTGTGATATCGACATTGAATCTCCTTTTGGAGATGGGCTTTCAAAAAAAAACAATGAAGAAAGTGAAAAGGGTTTGACTTTTCTTTGTAACGTGATTTGAGAAGTTTGAGTTTATTAAAAGGTATTGTTTGTGAGCGAATTGTAACGAAATTTTTCGGGAAATAAATAGTCATTTACATTTTTCCATTTTTATAACTTTTTTGTTTTTTATTTAGAATAGAATATGGGTTTTTATAATTAAAATTGTCATAATTATTTATAACATATTATGATTAATGCATTTGTGGGATTGTTTGAGAATGTGTTGATTCGTTAAATGGTTATGGTAATTTAAACTATTTTTAGTTGAACGAAGATGAGAAATTCTCTTCTTTAGAATTCTGGTCAAATTACATTCCCAAAAACTTCTGACTTTGAATTTTATTAATATAATAAATTATTAGAATTAACAAAATATTTGTATGTTGTAATAATTTGAAGTTTTGGGAAATGATATTTAATGATTTGTATTATTAAAAAATTTAACTTTTTTATTATATTATTAATTATTTTTAATCAAAGCAATAAGTCTCGTTTCTATTTTCTATTCAATGAAATAACAAAATTATAAAAAAACTATTTGTGAAATTATATTTTTTAATAAAATATAATAGTTTTTAAATAGAAATAGAAAAAAGTGGTAAATTAATTATTAGTTTACTAATATATTAAATAATAGTAGTAAAACATTAATCATACTATAAATAATTCTATTCAAGTTTTAATCAAAATAAAATCATTCACTTTTGTTTAAATTGATTTATTTTTACTAATGTCAATGATTTGCTTTAAACTCATTTTGAGTTTCACACAAAACGTCATTTCAGTACAACAAAGATATTTGTTGAATTTGTATTTAGAACTGTCAACTTCAAATAAACACTAATTCATACCTTGATATGATTAATAAATCCACCATCATCAAAAGTCAAATAATGGCAAACGTGTTTTACTGATACACAAATAACAACAATTATTATAATGATAATAGTAATAATATAATAATTGTTATAATAATATAATATTATAATGATAATTGTTATATGTCTTTATTGTGTTCTTTCAGTTGATATTTAGAAACACTTGAATTATAAACACTGTTACTAAACCATTTGTTTTTTACAACAGAATGATATGTATAGTTCAGGATGCTCTGTATCATGTATAATTAGAGTCACCATGCATGTTTTTTTGTGTTCATTTTTTGTTATAATCTATAAATAATCTATTCTTCATGTATAACTATTACCCTCTGAGTCCACAACACTTTTTAGTTGTTGACACTCTGTTTTTCTTTGTAATTTTTCTAAAAGATATTATTATAATAAATATAATATTATTAATTATACTTATTATATAATAATGAGCCCCAATTATCAAACAATGAGAACATAAGAGGGGTTTTGTCATTTTGTCATTGTAATTTTCTTACAGTTTTTTTCTGTATGGTATTTATTAACTTGTGAACTAATAAATTATAGTAATTTATCTAACCTTTTTTAACTATCCATTCAAATATCATTTAGTTCATAATTGCCATCGTTATTACCTATAAATACATCAATTAATAAAGAGTAATATAACAACTAATATTAAATGTAATTTTTAAAACTACAGTGAACAATTATCAATAAAAAAACCCAAAAAAGAAAAAACAGAACAAAACATTTTTTCGTCTTATTTTTTGCTGTTTTTTTTAGGAACTTTTCAATTACCAATTTGAATGTATTCTTAGATAATCAACCTTCTTAATATCCGGGAAACTCCCAAAATTAAAAGTAGAATGAAGTTTGAAAAATGATGTTGTTATAAGCATATTTGAGTATTTTCTGACTGTGTACAGTTCAAAGCAAAAGAATTGAGTTTTTGTTTGAATTGCCTCTTAAAAATTGAAATGATTTTATATTATATTCAACACAGACAAAATTGGCTTCTTCTGACAATTATTTATTGATTGATAACTTTTTACTTGGATTGACCCGCATTGACTGGAGTTATTTGTTTAAAACAAAACTCAAAAAAATTGAACAATGCCAAGCTGGAAAGTTTGACAAAAGTTCTTACCTATTAAGAACTGACGTATAGTAAACATCTTTTTCTTTGATATTCAATTCTCTATTGTTAGTTATAGAACTGGTAGAACTCTCTTCACTCGTTATGCAACCTTCAAACCAAACACGCAACATCTGGGCGAACTTTTACTGTGCAAACTTTATTCCACCAACCCTAAAAAACAGTGGGCGGGACTTGACGGGAGTGTTTGTATATCAAAGTGCCAAGAGCGACAAAGCTGAACGTGTGAAAACGACTGTTGAAAAGGGGACACTTAACCCAATATGGAATGTTCCCGTCCTATTAGAGGAAGTGAAAGCAGAGAGTGAACTTGTGGCCCATGTGACTGATGGTTCTAAAGTGATATCTACAACAAGCATTCCACTCTCATTAATACACAAAGAAAGAGTCATGTTGGTAATGCCGTTGTATTCTTTGACTCACGAATTTTCGGGGTTTGCAAAATTTGTGTTTTTTGATGGTAACAAGCGTGAGGATATCGGAAACGTCATGTTCAAGTATGCCGACAACGACAATAAAATGTTAGTTCATCGTGGGTCTGGGCGATTAGAATTGTATGCAGAGAAGATAAGTGGTGACTCTGCGCATATATTTAGTGCAGAAGTTAAAGGCAAGCGGTTGAGGAATGTCACAAAGAAGAAGAAAGGGGAGAGTAGTGATGGGAATAAGTTTCTGATGTATTTTGAAATAGATACTGAAGACTCAATTACTCTAGAAATTGATGATAAAAAGGAATATACAACACAAGAAGTGATTTACTTCAGAGAGAAGACAACAACTTACTCCACAATAGAATGTGCTTTAGCAAAATACACTCTGAAAACTGTTTTCTATTCACCCGACAAAATCGAAGAGAATGAAATTTTGCCTTCCACTGCATTTTTCAAAAAGGATGGCTGGCTGCAACAGGGGGATATCCTTACAGAGAGTTATATCGAATTTGAAAATGAAGATGAATTGACAGACTTCGTGACTAAAGAGACGTGCCAGAAGTTTAATGTTGAGTTCGATAACACGTGCACAACAACTCGGATATCCAACGATTTGCCGGTACTCAACCCATATTATTATGAAATGCCTATGAAGACTATATTGGACAAAACAAGTGACAAGAAGCTTTATGGCTTTGGCGAAGACTGTCTGATAGCGTGTGGAGATCAAGACGAGGACAACATATGTAAAACGTTAATACTTCACCCGCAAATGACTCTCAAGTGTTACATGGACATTTCAAAATTGGACGAATCGCTCAATGAAATTTTGAAAACAACAAAATTGAAAACCAAACAACTTCCTTTGAGTTTGTGGGAGAAGGTCATACAACTCGAAACAAAGTTTTGCTCGACAGACGAGAAGATTGGGGTGTTGTATGCAAAAAGTGGGCAAACCTCCGAACTCGAGTTTTTAAGCAACACAACGTCATCACCACAGTTCGATGAGTTTCTTGGAATCCTTGGAGAGAAGGTTGCGCTCAAGGGGTTCAAGAAATTCAAAGGAGGTCTTGATGTTACTAATAATGAGAATGGAGAGTATTCGGTCTATACAAATTACGATAATTCCGAAGTGATGTTTCATGTCTCCACTTTAATGAAAACACCAATGGACGATCCACAGTATTTGGACAAGAAGAGACATATTGGGAATGATGTTTGTGTCGTCATATTTAAAGAGGGTAACGAGCGAGTCGATATCACTTCATTTGTGTCACACTTCAATTGTTTGTTTTAACACATTTAAACGTTCTTTAGTTGTGCTGAAGAGGTATTCACATATAGCAATTTTCATTATAGTGCGACCAATTGAAGATAAGGGCGAACCATCATATGAAGTGTGCGTTGTCACAAAGAAATCAGTAAATGCTTTTCTCCCTCGCATCCCAGCGTCAAAAACATTTAAACGAGAATGCGCGTTCAAAGAGTGGCTTTTGCAGAAAGTATTTAATGGGGAGCGCGCCGCACTTTTAACAGACCAATTCATCAAATCTCACACCGTTGCAAGAAGAGGACTATTCAAAGACGTAGTTTCCTCTTCGTTGCAAAAAAAGTGAATGTGTATGTCAAGGCACGTGTTTATTATAAATAAATTATAGAGTTTTAGTTCATTCATAATTTAATAATTATTAAATTAATAAACAACAATTAGTATCCTTTTAAATTAAACTTTGCAGGCTTAGTAAAAGGGATGAGGAGGAATACAAGTATAACTACACAGTTAATTCTACTATTTAAAGTAAGAAAAAGCTATAATATAAGTAAAATAAATAACAAACAAATAGAAGGGAAATGAACGCATGTGATGACGACTATTTGTACATAAGGAGCTAGTTCATTTGATAAACTACTAATTGTGGTTGACCGAGTCGAGATTGAAACGAGTTTGTAGAAATACAACACAAACCGAATTGCTGCTTGGACCATAAAAAGGACAGCAACAGTGTCCACACATATCATAGTCTTCAATGGAGACAAGAGAATACCAGAAAATGAAACGCCATCTTTTGTCATGTAACTCAGTATAATCGCATTTGTGCAAGCAACAAACATGATGCCACAATAGAGAAGTGTTAAAACACAGTAATAAGACCAGAGCAAACCACAGTCGAACATGTCTGTTATTAATGCATTTGACTTGATTGAATATCCATACAAAAAGAGTCCAATTGAGGGATTGATGATAACGATTAAAACGACATAACACCCTTGATTGATACGTTTGCACACATTAAAGAGCTTCGGCTTGTTGTAAAGTGCCTTGTCGATGTAATCGTTCATCACGTCAAGTGCGACGTAGAAGTATGTGAATTGGAAAAAGTGACTAAAAGATGAAGTGAGGAAAGCCACTACGTTCCATATAGTCGATGTAGTGGTCGGATTATCTTCGTATACTGAGAGATCAATGTAATCAAATATGAGTGTGAGTACAACACACACTAAAAAGAGGTACATACACACAAATGTCATATGAATACGTGTGTTCAGTTTATCACATCGGATCGTGTAGATGACATGAAGAATAATTAACACTATAAGCGCTATTATATGAAACGAAGTTAACAACCAAACTTCAATCTTGGTGTCTAAATTCTCGACCATAGCCTTCAATCGTGTAAATTATAAGTTCATTGCAAATGTTTTCGAGTTGTGGAGTAATATTTGAAACACATTTGGTTATTAGAGCAAGATTCTTCATTTGGTTATAAATTAATTGAATAATCATAATGCAACGCTGATATAAATATAGTTTGTAGTTGAATTAAAATTAATATATTTATTGATTTGGTAGAGTTATGACAACTTTAATTAATTGTTAATTAAAAAAGTTATATACTTCTATTTTTGTGTAGTAATTACAATGGTATTAAAAACTAATAAGAAGAAACTAGAATTCCAGTTATTCCAAAAAAAAATTTGAAACCCTTTTTTTCCTATTTTTGGAAAAAAATCAACAGAAACTATTCTTACTATATTGTGCTACTTTTTACTATACTGAATAGTTTTAATTTGAAAACAACTGAAGTACTCAATAAGTATACCATTTATGGCACTTCGACAATACTCATATAACTCTAATGGAATGCAATTTGACCACTCAAAGGAGGAGAGAATCCAAGAAAACATTAAAAGACATCCGCTGTTCCAACAAGACACGACTGAAGTTCAAAACGAAGATACAAACCCTATCGATTTGACACAACCGACTTTGGTTGAAATAGTCGAGTCCAAAGAAATTGAATCTCAAGAAGGCGATAAAAAGGACACCACACAATATATACCTAATGTCTTAACACCAATTCCTAAACGATTTGTAGAAAATGCCGACGATGACCAAGAAGTGAAGAGAGTCGAGACGCCTTACTCGGCTATATCAAAACAACAAAAAACAAAAGCCCCCCAAAGCCCTTCAAAAGTCCAAGACCACAAAAAGAACTTAACTCTCGTTGAACGGTTTTGTGCAGAAAAGCCACACAAACAATCGCCACAACCCGACCGTCCCGTTTCGACAACGAAATTTGGAAATCTGGAGACAATCGTTAACAATGAAAACAAAGACATCTACGAAAATGGAGTTGCAATCTATTTGGCTTGCGACGAGGTAGTCACTTACACGTTATTCATTGGTGGATTACCTCCGAAATTTGATGTTGCAGCGCTCAAGAAATTGTTTGCCAATTACGACGCGTCCAATTTCAGAGTAGTGACAGACCCGGAGACAAAAGATTGCAAAGGGTTTGGTTTTGTCGAGCTGTATACGAAAGACGCAACAAATATGGCAATCGACGAGTTGAATGGCACTAAAGTCGAGAACCGAAAACTTCAAGTTAAACTCTCTGACCCACAATCAAAGAAAAAGGTTGTGTGTTTCTTGTGTGGAGAGAGTCACTTGTTCAAAGACTGTCCACATAAGACTGAGGAAATGTACAAAGACAAACTTAATGACTTGAGGCGTGAAAAAAAGAAGGAATACACTCAAAACCATACCGAGAATCATCACACAGAATCAAAAAGAGTCATTCCAATACGATACGAAAAACAAGATAAATACATCAAGAAAGACAATGACCAAAATTACTACGGCAAAAGATATGAAAGGGATTCGAGAGATTATAGAAGTGGATATGACCACAATCGTAGTTGGAGAAAGGATGAACATTGAAAGTGAGGTGCACTCGATTAAACTTTTGTTGATTGAATGATATTGTGGTTTTGAAGTCTTTTAATAACGGAATGTAGTGATATTATAATAATAATATATTATAATAATATATTACTATAATAACATATATAATTAACGGAATTGTTTATAGAGTAACAATTCTATATACTCAATTTAATCTCCGATAAAAAGTACGTCTTTTTTAATCAATACAAATCATGTTTTTAGTAATAAAATTAATTAAAAAAATACTGAAAAAGAAGATGAAGCCAGTGAACTGCTCAATATTCTTGATGGGAAAAATTGGTGTTGGGAAAAGTACTTTTGCACTCCGATTTTGTCACCAAGTCTTTGTAAAAATCAATGAACCATCAGACTTAAATAACTACAAACGAGTTATTAAGTTGACTGAGAGTGACGGCGAACAACGTGACGTTGTTGTGGAGTTGATAGACCAGTGTTTGTTATCACAGAGTTTTTAAATTAACGTTCAAACTCAATCGCAGACAACCCATCAGATGTACCACAAATCTTGGAATCTTATATGAATAACACGGACGGATATTTCGTCTTTGTTTCTTCAACGAACCCAAACTCTATCAAAGAAGTCGATGTGATCCAAGAGATACTAAAAAGGTATTCAAGTAACCACAACAATAAGGCGTTACCTATCATCCTTGTGGAAACGAAGTGTGAGGACATCAATAATTACTGTGTGTCACAACACGAAGTTATCAAATGCGCAAAAAAGTTGCACTCTGATGTGGTCAGAGTGTCATCGCTTACTGGATTTAATGTGTATACTGCAATTAAAACAATGTCGTCGATCGTCGTGCGAACAAAACCAAATCCCGTCTCTGAAACAACCGTCGGTGAAGCGTTTCAACTCTCACACAATTCAAAACAGTGTGTTGTTGTGTAATTCAACAGTTCCGTTACTTTAAAATGCAGTCAAACAATGTGGAGTTATCAAAAGAATAATAACAATGGGTTCATTCACAGACAATCAATATATTCTCGGCTCTCCTTTTTCGACTCTAAAATGATGACTTGTGCCAACTTGACAAGACTTCTCATTGGAAATGGTCGAGCGCGCAGGAGAGTACTCACCGGGGTTTTTGAACGCAATAACTCCTCTCTTGACAGTAAGAGTTCTGCACAGATAATATAGATGAAATACGATGGCCGTGTTGCTACTAAGAAGTCGAACAATATCACCATCTCCTCTTTCGAATACTTTTGACTACCAAAGCTGATGTAGTGATTTGTTAGGACGGAAATTTCTTGAAAGATATGAAGAGACAAATCGAAGTCGATGTTGGTGATGATCCTCATTAACGAGATTTGCCAACAACTTTCGTCGTAAAAGTAATTTGTCATGTTCATTAAGAACGATGTGCACGCGCAAAAGGCTTGGAGCTCCTCATAGACTTCCATGAAGATATCAACGATTTGTGGGATATGTTGCACATCTTTATGCATCACTTCAAGTACATTCTGGATACAATGACACACGCGTCGGGTTTGTTCTCGGCGTTGGTCATTGCACTTAATCTCTTGCAACTCCCATTCGATGGTGTTTTCATTGCCTTGATCCAGTGTTGATCTTAAAAGAATCATATACACCTGAGCGTTTGATGGGAGTCGTTCTAATAAAACAGACCACGTTATTGCTCTCAAAGTGTTCTGATCTGATGGTATCCCTTTCATTAACACCATTTTCCGAAGTAACTCAATGTCCCCTATTTTGGTTTGAATGACTTGTTGGACATCTAAGTCCTCAGACACGTCGACTTGGTTTATTGGAGCACTTTTTGATTGATTGAAACTCTCGGAAATATCAAAGTCACTCAAGTCGGACAAAAAATGTGGTTTGACTTTTGGAGCCCCCTTTACGCTCGTCGGTTGTTGTGTATCAAACGAATTCCAGTCGGAACCATCATCAAAATCAGTGATGTCACTTTTCTTCCCCAACTCTTCTTGATTTGTCGGCGCACTTTTCGAAGTTTGAAATGAATTTGATGGCGTGGAGGTACTCGAAGAATCTAAAGGCCTTTTGGCGGTCGGGGTCACCACAATTTTTGAGTTGATAAATTTATTTGAATCAGTTTGTTTGAAACCAGTTAAACTCCAATCAAAGTCATCATCCAATTCCCCTTTATCAAAGTCACTCGCATCACACATAATGCGATTATATACATTTTTTCAAGTTAAGTTCGATTGACTCTTCGAATATAAAATGTATTATATTTTATAGTTATTTTAATTATATTCATATTGGTGCTTTAAAAAAAATATTTAAAACAAAAAGAGAAAAAAAACGAAAAATTGTATTAATGTTAATAATTTTTGATATTAGTATTGTATAGCTTGTTATTATAATTAAATGATATTAGTGCTTCGCAGTTTGTGAACTGAAGTTTTTTTCTATTTTTTTTCAAACTGAAAAAAAACACATTTTAGAATTTAATTATTTGTAATAGCTTTATCTCCACTTTTGGGATTAATTTATTTAAACACAATTATTAAGAAACATAATCATAAACTGTAAAACAAAATCAAATTTGAAAAAGATAAAGAAAAAACCCAAAACTTTGAATATTTTTTAGTTTTTGATAAAAAAAACAAAATTTGACCAAAAATGCATATTTTGAAAAAAAATATAAATACAAAAAACAATGAAAAAACAAATAATACCAATGACCATAAGTTTTAATTATATCAAAAAACACAATTTTATATTTAATACTTTGGTAATTGTGTATTGTTTGACTTATTAAATTTTTGTTATTTTATCGCAAATCTGAATGCTCATATAATTAATAATAATCATAATCTTTAAACAAACTGATTATCAAATTTAATGTTATTATTATGTATTCAAATTAACAAAATATAGTTCAAATTTCAATGAATAGTTTTAATTAACACTTAAATGGCTTAAAGAAATTTTTTTGAAGGCAAGGAAAAAAAAGACATAGACGCCAATTTAAAAAAAGTACTTAAAACAACCCATGTCCCTTTTGGGACATAATCTTACTCAAAAAAAGTATAAATGTTAACTCGATTATATAAGATTTTGCATTATTTTTTCAAAAATACACTTTTCTCTCAAATTCTTTGATAACGATTATACTATACTCATTTCTATTATTTATTACTATGTATCACTTGTGTCGGTTTTCATTCAAACCAACGTGTATACATAGTGACATTATCATACTCAAACATACTTATTTGATTCTCAAGTTAATTAATGTTCTAACTTTATTTTTTCAGTTGCCAAATGAAAATCATTTAGAAAAAATTCAGAATAAAAATATATTTTTAAAAGTCACTTATTTTAGAAACTATTATTTTTTCTTGGGGTTTTTGCATTTTGGGCACAAGAAAAGTGAGTGTTTAGTGCACACTGGAAGACCACAAGATTCACATATTCTTTTTGTTCGAGCCTTTTCAACTTTCTTGCAAAAAGCACAAAATCTCTTTTTGGCAACTGTTAGTGATTTTTTTTCTTTGGAATTTGTTATAATTTTGTTTTTCCCAACAACGTCTTCCCACCATTTTTGAAGTCCACACTCAACAAACAGCTGTCTTTTTTCTTCTCCTTTTTTCATCCCTCGATCAAGCCTTCTTTTAACGTAATTCTCACACATTTGTTCAGACAATTTAATTAAAAAATCAAAATGAGACATTTTTGTTTTTTCAAACATGGCATAGGCATTAGTGCAGCAACAATCCAGGATATTTTGAACAATTGCCAAATTGTATCTTCTCGTTTTCATTTTGCACGAATACTCTTGGCAAAGTTGATCAAAAGTATCAACTGGAGTTTTTGTATAATTGTAAGCCACATTTATTGAAGATTTTCCACTTCGACTGTCAATCAATGGAATTTGAATTTTATTGGTAACAATAATGACAGTTTTGCTTTTGTTTGGGTTAAAAGCAGTCAAAAGAATGTTCCCTTTTGAATAAAAGCGTGTATTTTTGGGATTTTTTTCTTTTTCTTCTTCTAATTTCATTTTTTCTTCTTTAATTTCAATCTTTTCTAAATTTAAGAATTTTTGGGAAGATAGAATTTTTTCAGCTTTTTCTTTGTATTTTTCCCTTTTTGTTCGGTTTTTTGGCTCAGCTGGACCAATTTCCCCAAGTTTAAAAAAAATTTTGTCCCATTCCTCCTCAATTTTCGCAATCGATTTTTTGTTTTTCTTTTCCATTTTTTGTACTTTCCTTTCTTT